TATTCTATCTTAAAAAAAATTTACTTTTTTATTGTTGTTGTTTTCTTTTCTTTCTTTCTTTCTTTCTTTTTTTTTAAAAAAGCTCTTTTTTAAAAAGTGTATTCTCCATTGCTCTCTTCAGACACACCAGAAGAGGGCATCAGACCCCATTGCAGATGGTTGCAAGTCACCATGTGGTTGCTGGGAATTGAACTCAGGGCCTCTGGAAGAGCAGTTAGTGCTCTTAACAACTGAGCCATCTCTCCAGTCCTATTGTTTTTCCAAGACAGGATTTCTCTGTGTAGCCCTGACTATCTTGGAACTCACTCTCTAGACCAGGCTGGCCTTGAACTCACAGATCTACCTGCCTCTGCCTACTGAATGCTGTGATCAAAGGTGTGCTTCACCATTCCTGGCTTTATGCCAGAGTTGTTTGTTTTTTGACATTTTACTTATTTTTATTCATTTATTTAATGTGTACATCCCAAAAGGACCTGAATTCCAACCTCAATGCCCACATAAAAAGCTGGGCACAATGGTGCATGCTTGTGACCACTGGATGTGGGAATAGGAAGAGGAAGAGGAAGGAGACATTTCCCTCTGGTGCTAGCCTGTTAGCAAGCCCCAGGTCTCTAGGAGAAACCTTGTATCAAAACCAAAGTTGGGCTGAGGAGTGGGGCCTGTAAGGATGGCTCACAGCACATGATAGTGCTCTTCCAGAGGTGGCACAAAACTAGTGTAACTCCAGGGGGCCTCTAACAACACCTCTGTCTCCTCAGGTGTCCTTGGGCACCTACAAGCTACACTCACATGCACACACAATCCATAGACACACAAACACATAATTAAAAATCATAAAATTAGTTCTCTTTTTGTTTTGTTTTTGTTTGTTTTAGTTTGGGGGTTGTTTGTTTGAGGCAGGATTTCTCTGTTCTGAAACTTGCTCTGTAGACCAGGCTGGCCTCAAACTCACAGAGGTCTGCTGCTTTTGCCTCCTGAGTGCTGGGATTAAAGGCATGTGCCACTACCACCTAGCATAAAATTAAATCTCAATAAGGTCTATGCTGGCGGTGTGTATCTGCACACAGGAGCATGCACACACATGCAGAGTGGGAGGATGAAGGAAGGATATATTAACTAATTAAATCAACACTTGAGCATTACGAAATATTACAAAATGTAAAGTCTCCCTCTCTCTCTCTGTCACACACACACACACACACACACACACACACACACACACTTGAGGTAGGGTCTGGCTATGGTCTGGAACTCACAGAGATCAGTACCCTCCTAACTCTGGTTCTTTTTTTTTTTTTTTTAAGATTTATTTATTTCATGTATGTGGGTATACTGTCACTGTCTTCAGACACACCAGAAGAAGGCATTGGATCCATTACAGATGGTTGTGAGCCTCCATGTGGTTGCTGGGAATTGAACTCAGGACCTCTGGAAGAACAGTCAGTGCTCTTAACCACTGAGCCATCTCTTCAGCCCCTAACTCTGGTTCTTGAGTGCTAGGATTAAAGGGGTGCTCTACCAAGCCCATCAACAACACTATATTGGAATAAAATTTTTTAACTATATTTATGAGAAAAAGACTAGTCAGGTGTGGTGCCCACATATGACCTCAGTAGGCTTCAAAGGCCAAACCTACTCCATCTTGGGACCAGCCTCCATCTTAAAGAAAAAAAGCCTGAGAACTTGACCTACAGCAGAACCCAAGCTGCACCCCAGTACCAGGAAGGACCCCACGGCTCGTCCTTGGCCCACACCACGGAGTTACTCCCTAGCTACTTCTTAGCAACTGTCAATCAAAGGTTAGTCTAATTACTTCAGATGTACTTTCAGACCTTTTGTGATTGTTCATGGTCTTGCTTTAGAACACCCACCTGTCAGCTTACAATAGACAGATACTTGCCAGGCTGGACACCCTCTCACTATAAAACTCATCCATATAAAACCTTGTCCTGCTGAGGGTTTGAGGCTGCTCTGCCTTCCCTTCCTGTCCTGCTGTCTGAGGGTTGGGTTGGGGGAGAGCCCAAGCCCGGGCTTGTAGTAAAGAAACCCTAATGCTATTACATCGGTAGCGGTTCCTTGGTGGTCTTTTGGGGTTCATGAATGCTTCTTGGCACAAGAGGCTCAGGCATGGTTATTGCAACCAGTTTGAGGTCAAACAGCAAGAACTTCTTTATCTGAAAATTAATTAAAGATTTAACAAAAACTGGGAATAAAGGCTAGGCATGGTGGTGCACACCTTTAATTCCAACACGTGGGAGACAGTGCTAGGGTCGCTGAGTTTGAGGCCAGCCTCGTCTACAGAGAGAGTGCCAGGACAGCCAGGGCTACACAGAAAAATCCTGTCTTGAAACAAATAAACAAACAAGCAAACAAACAACTCCCCTGCCCCCTTCCCCCCCAAAAAAAAAGAACCCACAAGGTAGCCAGAGACAAGCTACAAAGACCTGTCTCGGAAAACAAATAAACAAACAGAACTAGGATAAAAGAACGACATTCAGGATGGCCATGGTGGTACACATCTTTTTTTTTTCTTAAATATTATTTATTTAATGTATATGTGTACACTATAGCTGTCTTCAGACACACCAGAAGAGGGCATCAGATCCCATTACAGATGGTTGTGAGCCACCATGTGGTTGCTGGGAATAGAAGTCAGGGCCTCAGGAAGAACAGTCAGTGCCCTTAACTGCTGAGCCATCTCTCCTGACCAAGATGGTACACACCTTTAATCTCAGCACTCCAGAGTTCCAGGCCAGCCTGGTCTAGAGAGTTAGTTCCAAGACAGCCAGGGCTACGGAGAGAAACCTTGTCTGGAAAAACCAAAAGAACAAAAGCGAATGACATACCTCTGAACATCTAATTTTATGTTTTACAGATATGATAGTTAAGGGGTTAAGAGAGGCTAAGAACACATGACTAGAAAAATGTCAGAACCTGTTCTAAACCTAGCTCATAGGCGACGTTTCCTTCATTCCAAAACTACCCTAGGTCTTCAGATGATGCTTGGATAGTGAATCCAGGTAGGCAATTCTACAAGATTGTTCATTGCACACTGTGGGGGTGCTGTTTAAGAGCAGGCCCCGGGGCTCTGGCTACATACAGAGTAAAGACTCACATTACACGGATGGCAAAATGCCCACCTCTCTATCTTACAGTAGACGCTGGACGTCACTCATTTATTTACGTCCTTTTCCAAGCTGGGGACTGCTGTGGCTCTCTCGGCTTTGTGAAGAGGGGTGTTATGGTGCAAGGGAAAGAGAAAGGCAAGTGGGACGCACGGAGAGGGCTAAGGAGGGAGAGAAGCAGCAGCTAAGGTGCTGCTTTTACTTCAAAACCCTCTGGATCGAACACCTTTCTCTGCCTGCACGGCCCAACTATAACTCAAGGGAAATCAAAAGCAGAGTCAGCGACCGGGACCGACAGACGCGCAGACGCGATGAGACGCTCATCTGGGTCCTTGTTTTTTCTTAGGGCGGTCACGCTGCACCGCCTCCGGAGCGGCCGTGATGTCCCTGCTGTCCCCGTCGTCACCGCCGACCGGCCTGCGCACCACGCGCCGCGCCACCTTGTATTCGGGCTCGCCCACGCGTGGCGCAGCCCGCACCAAGAACTGGCCGCCGCGCTGGGTGACGCGCACGTCGGTGCGTGGGTAGGTGCCGTAGACGCGCCGCAAGTCGCGGCGCACGGCGTCCGGCAGCGGCAGGGGCGGTCCCCGCATGCGCTCCACGCGGCCCCAGCGCAGCTGCAGCTGCAGGCTGCTGCCCTCGGGCCACGCGGCGTTGCGCGTGGGCTGGGCTGGCGCGGATACGCCGGAGGCGGGGAGCGACGAGCCAAGGGCTGCGGCACCCTGCGGCGGGAAGGCCCACCAAGGAGACATGGAGGAGGCCAGGGCCGCGCCCGCACCATGGAAGCAGTGGAGCTCGCGCGGGGCCGTGCTCAGGCCCACCGGCCGGCTGCAGAAGTTGTGGGTCTGGATGGGTGGCAGCAGCAGAGGGGCGGGCAGGTAGGTGTAGGTGAGGCTCTGCGGCCGAGGCCAGACGCCCTCCCCGGGCGGCAGGTAGACGTAGGAGTACATGACCTGGAACTCAGTTGGCGAGCATTTTTACTGGGTCCAGACCTGTGGTGGATGGGTATGCATACATAATTCTTAACAAACACGTGTCGCTGGTCCCTCGGCCGTTGCCTGTTTCTTGCGTGACTGCGTGATGGCTTTGAGAAACCTTTCCTGGGTCAGGGGTTCTGTTCCCCACCTCCTCATCAGATATTCCCAGACTGGGGATGTAGGTCTGTTAATACAGAATCTGACATGCACAAATCCCTAGGTTCGGTCCCCACCACCACATAAACGGGGTATGGTGGATCCTGCCTGTAATCCCAGAACTCTTAGAGTAGAGGCAAAAAGACCAGAATTCAGGTCATCCTGTCTTAGAACAGCCAGGGCTATGGAGACCCTGTCACAAAACAATCTTAGCATTCCTTTTAGGCTCCGCCCCACAGTTACCTGGCAACAGCCAGGTATGCCTGACTCACTATAAAAGAGACTGCTTGCCCCCCTCCCTCTCATAGCCTTTTCCCCTTTTCTTCGCCCCCCCACCATGCTCATGGCCAGCCTTTACTCCTCTCTCCTTCCCTCTCCCCTCCTCTCTCTGCCTTTCTCTGTCTGTACTACCCCCTCAACTCCCCTCCCCTTCCCCTAAATAAACTATCATGTGACTGGTACCTTAGGGGGAAGGGATGCCTTAGCATGGGCCCGTAGAGGCGCGCAGGCACACACCCTACACACACACACCCCTCCCCGCACCATACTGCTCCTCTACCAAACATATCCCTGGCTTCTTTTTTATAAAACACAACAGGGCTCCTCTCCAAGCTTTCTAGCCCCCAGCCCTTGTTATCCTTCCCCTTTTAACCGTCCATATCCGTTCACCTGCCTCCGTCAGCCTAGTGGGGTTATTCTCCAGCCTTTGGGAGAGCCAGGACAGTCCAGAATGGAGCGTCTCTCATTCCTTTTCAGTTCTCTTTTCCCTTTCTGTGTAGCCTCAGCCACACCTCCCTGTTACTAGGCAGAGAGAAACACCTTGAGCTGTCTTGGAGCTGGCCAGTCTGTCCTAGGTAGAAGCCAAAGCACAGCGGCCCCAAGCTAGAGGTAAAACTGCCCGAGCTCACAGATGGCACTCCCTATGGCACGGAACACTTCCTACCTCTTTCCAGTCAAGTCCCAGCACCTACATGGTGACACTCAGCCGCCTGCAACTCCACTTGCAGGGAATCTAGTCTCTTAAGGGCTCCTACACATATTAAGTGCACAGATTCATGGAAGCAAACTTCTGAATGACTAAATCATAAGAGAGCGTTCTGGATTACATATGAACCCAGTGTAATTATAAGGTCTTCAAATATGAAAGAGGTCCAGAGTCATACTGACACCATCCAGAAACCACCACCCACCATTGTTGGCTTCATAGATGGTGGGAGTACTATGAGCAAGGAGTACAGGCAGTGTCTGGAAACCAGACATCGTGAGACAATAGAGTCAACCAAAGCCTGCAGAGGGGACCCAAGTCCAGCCAACACCTTCCTGTTAGCCAGTGGGACCCATTTCAGACTTCAGCCTCCACAACTGTTAGGTTTGTCTTGTCCTAAGCCCTTGCGTTTTCAATTTATATACCACCAAAAGGATGTCATTTCAGTAACTTTGCCCTCTGTAATGTCCAGGGTTATCCATGGGTTGATCTCACCCCATTCGGACTGGTCATAGTTTCTACCTGTTTGTACTTCCTCAAGGAATCTAGTCTCACCTGGTTGGCAAACCAGACCAAGCTCAAGACAGGACTGAGAAGGTAAAGAACCTGTGTTTTATAGTGGCGCCTTCATGCATCGCTGGTCTGGGGAATTTTTAGGTATGATGAGGGATCAGGCTGTGGGTTCGTGTTCATTCATCCTGATTCTGGAAATAGCCCTCATGTTTTGGGGATGCTACACTTTCTTCTTTTAAAAATATTTAATTTTATGTGTATGTGTGTATGTCTGAGTATATGTCTGTCAACCATATGTGTCCAGGAGCCCACGGAGATCAGAAAAGGTCCCTAGGTTCAGTGCCCTGGGACTGGAGTTACAGATGGATGGTTCTAAGCTGTCATGTGGGTGCTGGGAATTGAACATGGGCCCTCTGGAGGAACAGGCATTGTTCTTAATTGCTGAACTAGCTCTCCAGTGCCCTTCCTCTCTTTTTGAGACAGAGTCTAGCTGTGCAGTGCTGGCTAGCTTGGAACTCTATGATTTTTTTTAGTTTGGGTGTGGCTTTGGAGGCCAGAAGAGAGTCTGATGCTCCTGGAACTGGAGTTTCAGTCAGATGTGAGCCACTTGATGTGGGTGCTGAGAATTGAGTTCTTCTGCAGCAAGCACTCAGTTACTGAGCTATCTCTCCAGCCCCCCATAAATAAATCAGAAGATTTATTTTCTTAATTATATCGATATGTGAGGGAAGTATGTGCACATGAGTACAGGTAGCCAGGGAGGCCAGAAGAGGGTGTCACATTCCCTGAATGTGAGGTTACAGGCGCTTGTGAGCTGCCTGTCAGGGGTGGTAGGGAGGAAACACAGAGCCTCTGCAAGAGCCACTGTTTGTTTATTTTTGAAGACAGGTTTCTCTGTGTAGCTCTGGCTGTCCTGGAAAGAGCTCTGTAGACCAGGCTGGCTTCAAACTCAGTGCCAGGACCAAAGGAGTACACCACCATGCCCTGCTGAGGCACACACTCTTAACTCTTGAGCCATCTCTCCAGCGCCCCGTTTTCTTATCTGGTGGAAGGAAACATTTTCTTTCCCCAAGACAGAAATCTGAAAGGATTGCAGGTTGTGGAGGAGTTGTGGGGAGGCCTTAGTCACTGAGTATGTAGTCATAGAAGACATGAAGCCGAGAGACAGAACTTCCTTTTTGATAATGTTATGTGAGTCACGGGCTTTACAGTTACACAGACCAATACATTCCTTTTTGTTTAAGCTGGTTTGAATGTCCTGCTGTTCCTTCCACCCACCCCAATGAGACACACTTCAGTATTTTCTTTCGGTATCTTGCGAAACATTTGAAAATACAGCAACTTTAGTAGTCAGGGAACCTCGTGATCAAAGCCTCCCTAGTGGGCAAAGTAGAAGCCCTGGGAGGAATGGCCCAATAACTAAGAATGGAGAGCTCTTAGAGAGTAGAACTCAGTATTGCCTAGGAGAGAATTTCAAGAACACTGTTGTATATCATTTCTCTTAGGCTCAAGGACTGGAGGCGTCTAGCAGGGGAGTTGGCCTCCAGCAGCAGTGTTACAGCAACTGAGTATTGTCTCCAGCATTTGAAGGCTGTGGGGGCCAGAGTGTAACTGTGGGGCATGAGGCTCAGCAAAGAGGACTCCAGGTCTTTCCTGCTGGGTCACTTTTCAGAGCTGGTCTTGCCAGCTCACCCCATCCTACCGTTTAATCCCCAAGGATGGTTAAGGAAAGACTCAAGGTGTGCTTTGAAGTGAAAGTGTACACTGAGCAGAGACAGAAAGGCTGGAGGAAACCTATAATAGATTTACAAAGATCTGACTACTGAATTTCGACCCTCTCCTCACATCCATGGAGAGAAGTGGTGGGCATGGGAGAGGAGGCATGACCATTTTCTGATCAGGACTGCATTCTGGAGCAGGGGGGCGGGGTTAATGGGGTTAATGGTTGTTAAAGTCTAGAATAGAGATAAGTGTGTATAGCAGTTGTTTAAATCTAGAAGAGATAAGAAGTATGTGTGGCGCCGGGCGGTGGTGGCACACGTCTTTAATCCCAGCACTTGGGAGGCAGAGGCAGGTGGATTTCTGAGTTCGAGGCCAGCCTGGTCTACAGAGTGAGTTCCAGGACAGCCAGGGCTACAAGAGAAACCCTGTCTCGAAAAACCTAAAAAAAAAAAAAAAAAAAAAAAAAAAGTATGTGTGGCTTAGGCCACATACTTTTTTTTTTTGACCAGGTTGTGCTTGACCTAACTGCAGCTATCTTGGATTGTAACTGATGATTGTTTTAGAAAGTTTTTCCCAATAGTTTCCTAGTACATTAAACCAGATGAATCGCTATAATGGCATGTAGCATTTTACAATCAGATCCTGGTGCCAGCAGTGTGCTGGACTCTGATGCTAGCTAAAGATCAGTTGGGGTTTGTGTGTGTGTGTGCACGCATGTGTGTGTATGTGCATGTGTGTGCACTGGAGACTTGGTTTAGTGGTTAAAGAACATTTGCTCTTGCAGAGGATCTGATTTCAACTCCCAGCCCCAGCATGGTGGCTCACAACTGTGACTTCTGTCCCATGAGATCTGATGCCCTCTTCTGTCTTCTGTGGGCACTAGGCATGAACATGGCACACATGCAGGCAAAACACTCAGACAATAATAAAATAAATAGAAAAATATTTTTAAAGATAGAGCTGGGTGATGGTGGCTTATGCCTTTAGTCTCAACCCTCAGGAGGCAGAGACAGGCAGATTTATGAGTTCAAGGACAGCCTGGTCTACAAAGCAAGTTTCAGGACAGCCAGGGCTACACAGAGAAACCATGTCTCAAAAGAAGAACCAAACAAACAAAGAAAAAAGAAAGCACAGGGACATTCTGACTAGGATGAAGTAACTTTTGTCCTAACCAATATACACACACTCACATTGGATGGATCCAGTGGGATTGGTGCTGCTTCTCTTGTATGTAAGTCCTGTAATAAATTTCTCTCTGCAATCTTGTATCTGTTCCTTTGTTTTTCTTCCATCTCAAAGTGTCTTAGAACATGTCTTTATATACTTGGATGAGATTATTCCAGAACAGGGGTCATAGAAGCATAGAGGAGGGCTTAAAGAAGGAGAGGAATGGGAAAACCTAGTAGAACATAGGTATGTTGGGACAGTGTCTGTGGGACCCCTGAGGGCTCTCTAGGACTGGGTTGAACAGGGTCTTGTGGGACCATTTGCTGTGATGAACCCATTGCTATATTGGCACAAAATAAAAAACGGGACACTTGCTGCACAAAAATTACCAGCGACAAAAAGGCACAGGGGTCAGTAGAGCTAACTTCTAGCACAGTCCCCTGTCTCCTGGAAACAGTCTTATGTAGCTCCTGAAACTATGTAGCCAGTGATGGCCTTGAACTGATTCTGATGCCTCCATCCTCCAAGCATTGTGACTGCAGGAGTAGCCACAGCCACAGCCACTTTTCCAACATGGGGATTGAACCAGAGACTCCAGTATGCTTGGCAAGAACCCTTCAAAACTTAGCTACGTTCCTAGTCCCTTCTTTCTTTTCTTTCCTTCTTGACAGGGTCTAGCTCCGAAGCGGTGGCTGGTCTCAAATTGTAATCACACTGCCTCCAACTCCCAAGTGCCGGGACTACAGATGGGCTTCATCATGTTGGGTTCTATTTCTCCTTGTATGCCTACAAAATTCCCATAAGCAATGGAGCAGTTTCAGCAAAAAGAAGGCCCCTTAGCAGAGAAGTCAAAAGAGGCACTCTTTGCCTTATAGCTCAGGGTAGGTGTCTTAGGGTTTTACTGTTGTGAACAGACACCATGACCAAGGCAACTCTTTGTTTGTTTGTTTGTTTGTTTGTTGTTTTTGGTTTTGGAGACAGGGTTTCTCTGTGTAGCCCTGGCTGTCCTGGAACTCACTCTGTAGACCAGGCTAGCCTTGAACTCTCGAACTCAGAAATCCGCCTGCCTCTGCCTCCCAAGTGCTGGGATTAAAGGCGTGCGCCACCACCGCCCAGCCCAAGGCAACTCTTATAAGGACAACATGTAATTGGGGCTGGCTTACAGGTTCAGAGGTTCAGTCCATTATCACCATGGCAGCATCCAGGCAGGTGTGATGCAAGGAGGAGCTGAGAGTTTTACATCTTCATCTGAAGGCTGCTTGCAGAATACCGACTTCCAGGCAGCTAGGATTAGGGTCTTATAGCCCTACATACACAGTGACACACCTATTCCAGCAGGGACACACCTAATAGTGCCTAATAGTGCCTGGGCTGAGCATTTACAAACCAACACAGTAGGGAAACTGAACAGGTGGGCAGTGAGTCCTATTTAATTACTCAGAAATTGCACTGAGCCTTACAAACTTGATTTTATAGCTCTAGCAAGTGCAGAAGAGGAAGGACTCCTCTGGGACTTAGGAGAAGTCTGGTCTAGCCTGAGCCTGGTTGGGCATCTGGTTGTATGAAATTTGTTGAAGGCTGGGCATGGTGGTGCACATCTTTAATCCCAGCACTTAGGAGGCAGAGGCAGGCAGATCTCTGTGAGTTCAAGACCAAGCTGGACTAGGAAGTGAGTTCTAGGGCAGCTGGTGCTGTTAAACAGAGAAATCTTGTCTCAAACAACAACAATCAACAATCCATTGACTGTTTCTCTGAACTTCAGGGTTGCTTGGTTGCTTGGTTGGTTGGTTGGTTGGTTGGGTTTTGAGATGAGGTTTCTCTGTATAGCCTTACCTTTCCTGGAAACTCCTTTGTAGACTAGGCTGGCCTTGAAAGCTGAAATTCACCTGTCTCCACCTTCTTAGCGCTAAGACTAAAGATAAATGCAGCCACCACCAGAACCCAGTGATTATTTTCGTCTGTAAGTGGAAATAATAACACCTACTTCCCATGTATAATTTGAGGAAGAGGCACTGGAACAGCGCACCTATCCTGCTAGGTCCGTAATAGTAGGCGGCTGAGGACTTCTTTCATTTGTGTGTCTCCCCAGCCCTGATTTTGTTTTTAGTTTGAGATAGGGCTTAAAGTGCCCGGATTGACCCTAATTCATTCTGTATTCAGCACAGGCTAGCCTTCTGTGTGGCAAGAATTACAGACTACGCCTTTAACCTCAGCACTCAGGTGGCAGAGATGAGCAGATCTTTGGGAGTTCGAGGCTAGCCTGGTCTACATAGTGAGTTCCAGAAGAGCTAGAGCCACATGAGGAAACCTTGTTTCATAAAACAAAACAACAACAAAAGGAATTTCAGAAAGGCACAATCAGGCATTACTTCCTCTTCTAATTCTTATTACTACCACTACAAAGAGGTCCGGCAGCGTGGGTTGTGGGTTGATGGTCAAGTGCTTGTGTCTAACATCTCCTGCCCTGGCTCCCGATTCCTTACGCCCATAGCTCAAGCTGGACTTGGCACTCGCGGGCTCACAATCCAGCCGTAGGTAGTCCCTGCTAAATTCTCATCTTCTGAAATTAGGATCAGGGAAGGGGAGGGGAGCGTCCCCAAGAGAAACTTGATTTGAGCTGAAATGACAGTTTTCGTGGAGATAAAAGAGGAGATAGTAGATAGTAGATCAGGAATCCAGGAAACCTGGTCCTGTTGGCTGATGCCGGTTTTCTTTTGGGTCCCTAAGGGAAATAGCCCATGACAAACATGGCAGCGACAGCCTCAGGCGCGGTCACCTGCCGGAGCTGCTATCGGGAGAGCGGTGCGGAGCCAATAGCTGGGAAGGGGCGGAGGGAGAGACCGGGAAGCCCGGGGCTGCTAGCGCGCAGGCGCACTGGCTGGCACCTGGCTACCCGCTGCCGCGGAATTAGGCATCGTCTGCCAGGATTGCGGTGAGCTGCTGGCCCGCGGCCCGGGACCTCTCCGGTCCCGGAGGAGCCGGCCGGATCCCGGGGCCGATCTGATTCAGAGGACCAAACCGAGGGTGGGACGGGAATGCGTTTCGGTGTTTGAGTCATTGGGACACTTTGCGCGGTTCCTTGAGGTGCCAGATTATGGATTGGAAAATTCTGGGGTCAGGAGGAACTGGGACCAAGGGGCAAGCGTAGAATCGCCGCAGAAGGGCTCTATTGGGGTAAGGAAGGGGGTTGCACCGTCCAGGTTGCCCCCTGAGGAATCTGAGTTCGTGGACGCAATGGTTCAGGCCGGGATTCACTCATTGACCTGGTGGCTCTTAACCCTAGTGGCACAGTAGAACCACTTGGGAAGCTTAAAAAATGCTGGGCATCACCTCCAGAGATCCCAGTTTTAGTGATCTGAGTGAGGTCCGAGCCTAGGTGTTCTAGACTAGCTACCTCTTCGGGTGATTTTAGTGTGCAAACGAAATGAAAACCACTGCACGTGTTTCTGAGTAGAAAGCTCCTGGGTTGATTCCCAGTTCCTCAGGGACTTAGAAGTAGTCTGCGATTCTGAGGTGAGTCGGCTGACACTTTCGTGCCACCATAAAATCCTGTGAAGAACCGAGAAAAATCCCTCTCGCAATGGGTGAAAGCCCATTTTCCATCCGAGGAGGGGGGGCCTGTTAACTCGGGGGAGAGCAGGGCCCCTCCAGCAGCTCTCCTGGGGCTCCATCGTGCTGTGAAGAGACTGAACAGGGTGTGAAATAGGGCAAACAATCCAGTCAGCTGCTTGCTGAGAAAATGACACGCCTCGTATTTACTTTGTTATTATGACTTGAAATTCCACCTGCTCATTTGATACCCGCACAACAGGCAGGAAACAGATTTGCTTTTTTCCACATGGAAATAAACTCTATGTGGGAATCAACTCTATGGCTACTTGGGGATAAGGTTCAGCCTTGACCCAAGCAAGTATTGTTGCTGGTACCGTGTTACTTAGTTTTTCCCCACTGTGGTCCCTACAGGCTCCCTCCTGAAGGGAGTAGGAACCACCAACCTTCCTCATGATAGTCTTCCTTCCAGGCCCAGCCTGTCACATCTTGGTCTCCTCCCTAAATTGTACTCACCCACCGTCACCAGAGGTGGCTGCACTTGGCCAGTCTTTCCTGTTATTAATCTCCCAGAGTCCTTCGAGAGTCCACTGCTCGGAGAGAGATCTTGAAGTTGCCCGGAGGGCTCCTTGACAGAGAAGTGCTTCTTGTCTCCTACCCTTGGCAGGTGCCTTCTGTCTTGATCAAGTCTTGTTGGAGGCTTATAAAAACCCCTTTTTAGTCTGGCCCTTTTTACTACCTGGGTCACATTCTGTCCCTATTGTTTTCTTAGCTTGGTTCTGCAAGTGTTATAAACGTTACTGCTGGCTTTTACTAACACCCCCCCCACACACACACACACATCTGTGGCCTCCTCCCCTCCCCCCAGCTGTGACCTCACTGCACTTGTTTGCTAGGAGGGACTATAGTGTTCCAGGTTGCTACTGTGTCTCCAAATCCCACAGCCAATCAGAGCCCCTAGTGTGGCCTCTGGGAGTTTGTTTTCCTCTGACTGCCCTTTGTAAGGCAGAGAACACCAACATTGGTCTTTTGGGGGGGACAATGGACTCAGCAGGTGCTAACCGAGCAGGAGCTTGGGGAGGGATCTTCAGTAGGACTGGCTTATCCTTTCTCTTCAGGAGCTTGTGAGAGCTTGTGAGCTGAGGGAAATAAGGAAAGCATTTGTTCTCAGGATACAGAGGGATGGGAAAAGGTAGACAATACCTGGCTGGGAGAACCTGGAGGATTTGAGGACCCTGGCCAAGGCCTTGAGGGAGCAAGATCTGATACAATTGTGGAAGTGAGAGGTGCTGAGGTTTGTAGTCAGGACCTATTTAGAACCTAGGTTCCAGCATCTCATAGCTTGGACTGTGGGCCAGTTATTTGCCTGACTTCCGGGTCTTGCTTGCGTCTGTGAACTGTAGATGGGAATAGTAAATGCGAACCCTGTGAAGGGTTCACAGCCGTGGATGTGGAAGCCAGGCCTGTCCTAAAGGCCTCAGAGCCAGCACAGAGTCACATCCAGGGCCTTTGGATGGAAGTGTGGAGGTGGAAATTAAAACAGAATTTGGAAAATGACACATGGGAAGGTCTGGGATGTGGCACGCAGTGAGAGGCATCCATGTTGAATACTACAATGACAACTTAGCTGGGTGTGGTGCCATACACCTGTAATTCCAGCACTGGGGAGGTAGCAGGGTTGCCACAAGTTTGAGGCCAACTGGCCCCTGTCTACCTAGGGAGTTTCAGGACAGCTAAAGATACATGATGAAATCCTACTACAAACAAACAGACAGACAAACACTTATATATTAGTCAGAGGGGTCCCTAACTGTTTTTAAAAATGTATATTTTGTATATCATGTATGTGTGCCTGTGTACATACATGTTCACGTTTAAGGATCTGGGTGCATGAGCCACAGTGAGTGTGTAGAAGGCAGAGGACAACCTCAGGTGTTGGTCCTGGCCTTCCAGTCTTTTTTTTTTGTTTTTGTTTTTTTCGAGACAGGGTTTCTCTGTGTAGTCCTGGCTGTCCTGGAACTCACTCTGTAGACCAGGCTGGCCTCGAACTTAGAAATCCACCTGCCTCTGCCTCCCAAGTGCTGGGATTAAAGGTGTGCGCCACCACTGCCTGGCTTTATTTTTCATTTTTTAAGACAAGATCTTACTATGTAATACTGACTGGCCTAGAACTTAGTATGTAGACCAGGCTGGTCTTGAACTTTCAAAGATCTGTTGGAATTGTCTACTGAGTGCCTGACCCTAGAACATTTTTTTTTTCCAGATCTATTTAATTTGTAGACGTGATGCCTGAGTGTATCTTATGTGCATCATCTACACACAGGGACCCCTGGGAGTCATAAGACGGCAGTGGACCCCCTGGAACTGCGGTATAGGTAGTTGTGAGCTGTCATGTAGGTGTTGGGAACTAAATGTGGGTCCTATGCAAGAACAATAATGCTCCTAACCACTGAGCCATCCTTCCAGCACCTCACCTTTCATCTTGATATGGGTTCCATGGATCTGGCGCAGGTCTTGGGGCTTGCACGGCAAGTGGTTTTACACTCTAAGCCATATCCCCAACTCCCAGCCAAGTTTTAAAGGTCATGAAACCCAGTAAGAGCTATTGTTTATGGAGAGTCCTGTATGTCCTGGGCCCCGTGCTTGGTGCTTTCTCCTCCTTTTGCATTTGAGCCCCACTTTAAGAAAGTTGGTATTAACCTCTCCACTGGCCCAAGGTCACCAGCATGACTAGTCCCAGGACCAGCCTCCAGCTCTTGTGTGAGGTGAGCTGTGCACAGGAGCGGGGAGCTTGGTTGCAGGTTACAGGATACACAGCTTATGCAATGAGGGCAGTGTGGGCTCCGTGGTATTTCTTGACGAGGCTTCTGTTCTCTTGTGACGTGGGTTGAGAGTAGGATGACAGAGGAGGAAGGCTGTTTGCTACTGGAGTAGGATCAGGAGACACATAGGCTGGAAAGCACCGCCACTCCTCCTCCAGCAAACCTAGTGCTGGCTCACCTGTATGGAGGCCTCTACCTGTGGTCTGTGATAGGGGCTCATCTCTGGAGTTCTTCCTGGGGGATTAGGCTTGCAGGCTTCCTCTCCGGCTCCTCATGTGTCCCAAGTTTTTCCCTCTACTTCTTTTATTTCAGAAAGGGGACCTGGGTCCTAGGATATTCCACTGACCCCGACCCAATCTTTAAGAAAAAGCAGCTGGGCAGTGGTGGCTCATGCCTTTAATCCCAGTACTTGGGAGGCAGAGGCAGGTGGATTTCTGAAGTTCGAGGCCAACCTGGTCTACAGAGAGAATTCCAGGACAGCCAGGGCTACACAGAGAAACCCTGTCTTGAAAAACAACAACCCCCTTCCCCCCCCCCAAAAGAAAAGAAAAAGCTGATTTGGAGAATAGAGTCAGGCAGATTTCTGTGAGTTCCAGGCCATCTTAGTCTAAAGTAACAGGTTGCATAGTGAGATCTGTCTCAAGAAAGAAAAGGCTTTTTTTTATTTAAAGTGAGCCATCTCTCCAGCCCCTCAAGACGCTGGTTTTTAAGCATCTGCCTTGTGCCTAGCATGGTGCTCTGGGTTTCCTGAGTGCTAGTTTAGCGCTTGCTATGTTCTTGTACAGACTGCTTTTATTCCCCGACTTGCAAAGGTACTGTGGGAGAGAGTAGTGATTCGAACTCTTCCCTTTTCTATTTTTTTTTTTTTTTTAAGTTTTTCGAGACAGGGTTTCTCTGTGTAGCCCTGGCTGTCCTGGAACTCACTTGGTAGACCAGGCTGGCCTCGAACTCAGAAATCCGCCTGCCTCTGCCTCCCAAGTGCTGAGATTAAAGGTGTGCGCCACCACTGCCCGGTGAGGTGACTGTCTTAGTTGCTGTCTTTTTGCTGTGCAGAGACACCATGAATAAAACAACACTTATAAAAGAAAGCATTTAACTTGGGCTTGCTTACCATTTTAGATGGTTAATCCATTAGCATCCTGGGCAGGGAGCGTGGTAGCCTGCAGTAGCTGAGAGCTACATCCTGGTCCACAGGTAGAGAGAGAGCATGGGCCTGACATGGGCTTTTGAAATGTCTAAGCTCACCCCCAGTGACACACTGCATCTAACAAGCCACACTTCCTGGTCCTTTTAATCCTTTCAAACAGTTCTACTCCCTGGTTACTGAGCATTCAAGTATATGAGTCTATGGGGACCGTTATTATTCAAACCACCACTGAAGTGGAAACTTAGGGATTCTTTGGAAAGTTACCTGGATGGTGTTTTGCTGGGGCAAACACATAAAGAATGATTTAGCTGAAGCAGACACAGGTAAAAAGATACTCTGCTAAAGCAAGCACATGAAAGGACACGTGATGAAGGATTCTTTGCTAAGGTCACTCCTGTATTGGTCCGCCTTACATTGCCTAGTTGAACTGCGTTTGTCAGGACTCCATAGAGAGAAATTCACCAAAAACCTGGTGGTGTGCTGCAGTTTCTTGCTGCTTCTGCAGACTCGGGCTTTTTGGCAGAGTGATGTCAGCTGAGACAGATGCATGTGCTGAGGCAAGGAGGGCATGTGGAGGACACGTGATGTTCAGAGGGTATAAATAGGACTCAATGGGCAGTGACAGAGGCTGAGCTAGGCTTGCTTATAGAGCTCGCTGTGCAACGCTTGATGGTCTTGTGTCTTCGCTGATCTTTGCTTCACTGAGAGAGGCACAGCTGAGAACTTCTGGTGTTCCTCCTGGTCCCTCCTGTTGACTTGTGCCAAGGCTAGGCCTGGCTGTCTTTGCTATGTAGTGCCACTGCTGCTGATTCATGTTTGCTATCTCAACTCTACTGAACTGGTGTACCCCGTGAAGTGTTTGCAAGTGGAACTGCTGATTTCCAGACATCTCACAGGGGAGCTGCTCCAAAGAACCTTTCTAAGCAGGTCCACTTCCTTGGTATTTTTCCCACTACCTCTGGTGGGTGGTGGGCTACAAGGGAGGTTTGCTTTGTAGTCCAAAAGGTCCTGGAGGCACATTTTTTTTGTGTTCTCTCTCTCTCTCTCTCTCTCTCTCTCTCTCTCTCTCTCTCTCTCTGTGTGTGTGTGTGTGTGTGTGTGTGTGTGTGTGTGTAAGACAGGGTACCACTGTGTAGACCAGGCTGTTATTGAGGTCACAGAGATCTACCTGAGTCTTTTGTAATTAAAGGCATATTTCACCATGCTTGGCCTACCCCATTCAATCTTCTTTTATGGGGGGGGGGGGGTGGAGGGGGCAGGGGAGTTGTTTGTTTGTTTGAAGACAGGATTTCTCTGTGTAGCTCTGGCTGTCCTGGAACTTACTCTGTAGACCAGGCTGGCCTTGAATGCAGGGATCTGCTTGCCTCTGCCTCCTGAGTGCTAGGATCAAAGGCGTGGGACAATAAGCCCACTCAGCCCTCTTTTTATTCTTTCTTTATTTATCTTCTGATTTTTATTTTTTCCCCAGACTAGTCAAGTACAGTAATAAGAAATGACTACTGTTTAAGACAGGGTCTCATGAAGTTGTCCAAGCTGGCTGTGAACTTCAATTTACCTGCTTTAGATTCCTGAGTATCTAGAATTACAGGATTATGCCGGCAGTCTCTGGAGGGTGAGAAGTCTGGACTCTATGCTAGCTCTTGGAATGGCAGGTGCAGACTAGAATGATCCTGTCTGTTCATGGAAAGAACCAGCAAGCACAAAGGCCTCGTCAAAGGACAGGGAGGCTGGGCTGGGAGTGGCCACATTGTAGAGACCTGTAGGCTTGGTGGGGAGGCAGGGAGGCTGGGTCTTGGCAAGGATGGCCCTTGGAGGTTTTGTTCCCTCTGTTGGACTAGGGCAGAGGACAAACAGGATATGACTGGTGGGGAAGTGTGTGTGTAACCTGTGAGCCATGCAGCCTCGGGAAGAAATCAGGCTCTCTGAGAGTCACCCTCAGTGTCATTAGGCTACCCTAACAGATGACACAAACTGATGGCTTAAAGCAACTGAATATTTGCTCATGGCTAGGGGGTAAAAGTCCACAATCAAGGCCTGAACGGAGTCCTGTTTCCACTGGAAGCTCTTGGGAAGAGTTCTTCCTTCTCTGTCTAGCTTTTGGACCTTCACTGGTGACATCGGCACTCCTTGGCTGTGGCTGTGTTACGGCATTTGCCGGCTTCATCCTTGTGGCCATCTTTGCTTGATTTGATGTCTTAGTTTGCGTTACTGTTACTGTTGGTTTTGGGTAACTATTGCTATGATGAAACACTGCCATGTTGACATACCATAGCCAAAAGCAAGTTGGGGAGGAAAGGGTTTCTTGGGCTTACACTTCCACATCCATAATCCATCCCTGAAGGAAGTCAGAACAGGACCTGAAACAGAGAACCTGGAGACAAGAACTGAGGCAAAGCCTGTGAGGGGTACTGCTTACAGACTGGGCAGCCTGGTCTACTTATTGAGCCAGGTTAGCCAAATTACATACTGAGACCTGATCTCAAAACTAAGAGGGAAAAACAGACAAGATGCACTCATACACTGATTCCACATGCACCACCCCAAGGAACTAACTCCCAAGGGCGTGTGTATAGAGGTGCACGTGACAGCCACATGTATAAACAGCAGTCCCACAGAGAGACCTAAGAACAAACACCATGAGAGGGTATAGAAGCTGGGGTGTAGCTCGGTAGTGGAGCCTTAGTCTAGCATCTGCAAGGCCCCGGGTTCTATCCCAGGCAGAGGTGAGAGATGAGAACCTCTGAGTAAGACCCTACTTGGACACAGCATCTGTGTATTTCAAACCAAATTAAGATGGAATCGTGTTGAATTGGCGTGGCCAGACCCATATTAAAATGAAAACTGATTATCAAACATGCTGGCTGGTCTTGTGTCAACTTGACAAAAGCTAGGGTTATCCGAAAGGAGGGAACCTCAACTGAGAAGATGTCTCCATAGGAACTGGCTGTAAGGCATTTTCTTAATTCATTATTGATGGGGGGTGGTGCAGCCAATCGTCGGTGGTACCGTCCCTGGGCTGCTGGCCCTGGATCCTATAAGAAAGCAGGCTAAGCAAGCCCCGAGGAGCCTGGAACTTATTATGTAGACCACACTGGCGTGGGATTCACAGATGGGCCTGGTCTGTTTCCTAAGTGCTGGGATCAAAAGCATACACCACCATAGCCAGTCATATCTTGTTCTTTTGTTGGTTTTGAACAGTGTCTCAATATGTAGCCCTGGCTGTCCTGGGACTTACTATGTAGACCAGGCTGGCCTTGAGCTCCTAGAGATCTATCTGCCTTGGCCTCTTACATGCTGGGTTCAAAGGTGTGTACCACCATGCCAGGTCTTGCATTTTGTTCTTACAGAGTAGACTTCTCGCTGGCTTTTCCCATTTGCCCCAGTGGTGCACAGAAATCCGATTTTGGAGGTCAATTAGAAAGGCTTTAGCATCAGATAAACCTGGATTCAAGAAAGGGAAACATTTATATGATTCGATAAGAAACCAGGGAATATATGAAGTCTGGATTCAAATCAATTGCTTTTTTGCCATGTGACATTGTCTAAGGTCTTCAGCATTTCTAATTTGAGTTGTTCTTTAAGACCATAATAGTGGTTCCTAGGGATTCTGTAAAGATTATAATCATACCAGTGCACATTGATTAAACACCTCTCTCAGTAGGGTTTCATCACACAACCAAGGCCGGCCTAACTGTGCAGCCCAGGCCGACATGGAATTAGTGGTCTTCCTGTCTTGGCCTTCCTAGTGCTGGGATTAGGGTGTGTATCATCATGCCTGGCTCAAAGAGCATTTTCTATGAGCTTTTCCATTTAATCCATCTGGTCTTTCACGTAATGATTCCCTTTGACCTTTTTGAGTAAAAGAAACTAAGGTTAACCATATCGGTGCTGCCTACCCTGTAAGCACACTGTGCCCGAAGCCACCGAGGTCACAGCTAGACCATTTTGGTTGGACAGCTTGCCAAGTATCCAGTTTGAGAAGGTAACCTGGCCCAGTACTTGGCTGCCTGCCTTCTCTTCCCATGGGCCATCTCAGTTTCCCGTAGCATTCCAGAGTATCTCGCTTGGATGTTTCTGCTGTACTTCACTGGTAGTTCACCAGCTTTGTCTTACATGTGAATTCCCTCCCAAAGGAAATGAGTTTAAGAAAAAAAAAATATTTTCAGTGTCAGGGATTAAGTGTAGGAGCTAGACTAGTAGGCAACCACAAGCTACAGGCCCCGGCCTGGAATGAGTTACTCATGGGTTGTTAAAGGTCTCAGAGCTGGATCGAGAGAGTTAGCACAGACGCTTGTTGCTCACTGGCTGCTTCTTCCCCAGAGACAAGAATGGTCGGACTGGTGATGTCTGTGAGCCCTCCTCAGTGCCCCTGGGGCTGAGGCTCCACCAGCAGCCATGGGGCTACACTGGCCCCAAGCCCGGCTGTTGGGCCTGCCCACAGCCGTGGTATATGGCTCCTTGGCTCTCTTCACTTCCATCCTGCATAATGTGTTCCTGCTGTATTACGTGGACACCTTCGTCTCTGTGTATAAGATCAACAAAGTGTCCTTCTGGGTTGGAGAGGTAGGCCAAGCATGGGGAAGCTGGCGTAGGTGGGAGGAGATTGGGCTTCAGGTGTCCAAGCAGACAGAAGGTGCCTGTCCCCAGTGTTATCCCCATGTTAGGCTCTTAGGACAGGCTGTGCTATTTAGCAAGACTCAGCCAGAAAGGCTGATTTTATTTATTTATTTATTTATTTACTTATTTATTTTTATTATTATAATAATATTATTATATTATTTTTATATATGAGTTCATCATAGCACACCAGAAGTTCAGACACACCAGAAGAAGGCATCGGATCCCATTACAGATGGTTGTGAGCTACTGTGTGGTTGTTGGGAATTGAACTCGCAACCTCTGGAAGAGCAATCAGTGCTCTTAACCTCTGAGCCATCTCTCCAGCCCTTAAGGACTCTTCAGGAGGATTCCAGAAGCACTCCTGGCCGGTGCCTTAGCTCTCCGCAGTTTGTATGTTCATATCTAATATACACATATGCATCAGTCAGCTGGATATACTTACCAGCTGCCTTGGGCCGCTGGAGTTCGATGTGTGTACCAGGCAGAGAGGAGTTTTGGCAGAGAGAGGAACATTAACAAAAGCTTGCTGGCAGGAAGAACTGCCATCTTTGGGGAAGGTGCATGGACTGGAGTTGGGGAGCCCTGTACAACCCACCTGCCCATCTCTCTCCTCTTGCAGACTGTGTTTCTCCTCTGGAACAGCTTCAATGACCCCCTCTTCGGCTGGCTCAGTGACCGCCAGTTCCTCAGCTCCCAGCCCCGGTGTGTCTTAGGGAATGGGTACATCACTGCCCTAGTCCAGTTCTGACGATTCCCCAAATGAAGAATTGCTGCTCGTATTTGGGAGTGGAGGAAGGAAGGGATGCCAGTTGTGGTATGGGCATGGCCCAACCAGGGGAAGGGGTTGACCCTAGTGTGACATGGGGGTCTACCCATGGCTGCACATTCCCCCCACCCCCTGCTTCTTAGGCACTCCCTTCCCTTTCCCTGTTTGGGCCCCTTCCTACCCCAACCCTGAGAATCAGTGTCTCATAGCCCTTTGGGTAGGGCAGTGGGGCTAAGCTGTGCTTCTAAAGTCCCAGGTCAGGGGCTGAAGACTTGGGCTGTATCTAGGTGTGCACTCTAGGAAAATTCCTCCATCTGTCTTTTGGGCCCAGCTGGGGTAACTAGGGTCTGCTATGGCTTAAAGGTTACCGTCCTCTCCCTGACAGGTCAGGAGCAGGCCTCTCCTCCAGAGACGTGGTGCTGACCCGGGTCCAGGCTCTGGGCTGGCATGGGCCGCTGCTGGCACTGTCCTTCCTGGCATTCTGGGTGCCCTGGGCCCCTGCTGGCTTACAGTTCTTGCTGTGCCTGTGCCTTTATGATGGCTTCCTGACACTCGTGGACCTCCACCATCATGCCTTGCTGGCGGACCTGGCGCTCTCAGCCCACGACCGCACCCACCTCAACTTTTACTGCTCCCTCTTCAGTGCAGCTGGCTCCATGTCTGTCTTCGCCTCCTACGCCTTTTGGAACAAGGAGGACTTCTCCTCCTTCCGTGCCTTCTGTGTGGTACTAGCTACTGGCTCTGGGCTGGGCTTTCTGGGGGCCACACAATTGTTGAAGCGGCGGATTGAGGCAACCAAAAGGGACAGGGGTTGCCCGGGCCTGGACATGGATGGTGGGTGAGTGTAGCCTCGTCTCTACGATCAGAGCCTGATTTTAACACTCAGTCCTGGCCCACTCTGGTGTAACCCCACATCTTCCCTTCCCCTTTGCTCACAGCGTGTGTGACGAGGAGCCGCTGGTGGGCGGTGAGGAAGCAGGCAGCATCACCTTGGGCCAGTACCTCCGGCAACTGGCGCGCCACCAAAACTTCCTGTGGTTCGTGGGCATGGACCTGGTACAGGTATGGGGAATCTTTTCCTCATCCCTCTTTAAAGGGTGCTTCAAGAGCTGGAAATGTGGGAAGTTAAAAGTTCTAGCACTTTCTGTGTTCCCTACTCCCTTACTCTTACTCCCTCGTGTCATCCCCCCACCCCCATTCCCATGGTGCCTAGAATTGTTGATTCTAGAGCCTGGTATATGTTTAGGAGAGCAGTCTCCCACGAAGCTACACCCCTGCCTCTCACTGTGTGAGCTTAGGCAGGCCTCAGGCTCCAAGACCAGGCCTTCATCCATAAGACTGAAGAAAAAAATTTTTTTTAATTCTTATTTCATGTGTATGGGTGTTTTGCCTGAATGTCTGTTTGTGTACAAGTGTGTGCCTGGTACCCAGGGAGGCTAAAAGGCTATCAGATCCCCCGAGCCATTGAGTTAAGAAGGCTGTGAGCCACCATGTGGGTTCAGAGAATTGAGCCTGGGTCCTCTGGAAGAGCAGCCAGAGCTCTTAACCACTGAGCCACCTCTCCAGCCCCGAAACAATCTTTTTTTTTTTTTTTTTTTTTTTTTTTTATAAAAGGTGTATACAGGTTAGCCAGACTTAAAAATGAATTATTTTTATGTCATAAAAACTTAAAAATTAGCCGGGCAGTGGTGGCGAATGCCTTTAATCCCAGCACTTGGGAGGAAGAGGCAGGCGGATTTCTGAGTTTGAGGCCAGCCTGCTCTACAGAGTGAGTTCCAGGACAGAGAAACCCTGTCTCGAAAAACAAAAACAAATATATATATATATATATGGGTTAATTATAGGTTAAAAGGGATTGTCATTTAGGTTTCTTGGGGCGTATTCCATGTTTGGTGATATGGGACAGTGTGCACTCTTGCTCTGAGGACCAGGGCTGCTGCTCCCCTGCTGGCCTGTGAACTGTCCTGTTCTCTTCCCCTCCCCTCCCCCTCCCCTCCCCCTTGCTAACCTCTCCCCTACGCCTCCCCCTTCTACCCCCTCCCCATCTGTCCTGCAGGTGTTCCATTGTCACTTCAACAGTAACTTCTTCCCCCTCTTCCTGGAGCACTTGCTGTCCGACCACATCTCCCTCTCCACTGGCTCCTTCCTGTTGGGTGAGTATTGTCCAGGGCCAGCGGCTTGCACGTGCTGTCCCCAGGTCTGTTCTCCTTGGGTGGAGGTTAGTGGGCCGCCCTTCAGTCAGGAGTGATGGTGCCCCCCAGAGGCAGTGTGATAAAAGTGCAGTGCCCAGCCACTGCTGTTCTCTGAGTGCAGGTGGCTGTACTTTTTAATATTTCTGAGCCACTCATTTTTTGTTTGTTTGTTTTCTTCTCATTTTTCTTCGAGACAGGGTTTCTCTGTGTAGTTTTGACTGTTGTGGAATTTGCTCTGTAGACCACGCAAGGCCTCAAGCTCACAGAGATCTGCTTACCTCTGCCTCCTGAGGGCTGGGATTAGTGGGCACCGCCGCTGCCCGGCTTTTTTGTTTTTCCCACTACTGTCATTTGTAATGGGAGGGTAATCATAGCACAGTGACCCCTGTATTGACATGTTTCATATCCATGGATTCAGCCAACCATGGGTTCAAAGTATTAAGAGAAAAGTCTGACTCCATTAAGCGTGCATGGTCTTCTTGATTTCCACATGTTTATTTATTGTTTGTGTGGAGACAGTGTGGATGCACGCATGCCATGGTGCACATCTGGAGGTCAGAGGGGAACTTTCAGGAAATGGTTCTTTCCTTCCACCATGTGGGACCCAGGGATCAAACTCAGGTCGGCTGGCTTGGTGGCAAGCCCATTACCTGCTGAGCCTTCTCACTGACCCTAAAGCCTGTTTCTTTCCTGTCCCTGCCCTCTAATTGATATAGTATAACCGCTATTTGCATAGCATTTACATGGTACTGAATACTATAATCAAGACATCACGTAGGCCAGGCTGGATGACACACACCTGTAATCTCAACATTATAGAAACTGAGGCAGAACTGAGGAGAGTTTGATGCCATCCTGGATCTAATCAATGCCCTACTGGGCTGGATTCCTCGGCACCACATAAACACGGCATGGTGGTCCGCATCTGTAATCTATGTACTCGGGAGGTGGGTGTGGTTAGGACCAGACATTCAAGGTCAGCTTGGGTAGGCTACATAGGAAGTTTGAGGCTAGCCTCACATATATGAAACCCTGTGTCAAAAAAAAATTGAAATTCAAATGTTTATTTTAATAAAATAAAAGGGAGAACATAGCAGAGTGGGCTTTTAGTCCCAGCACCTAGAAGAAAGGAGCAGACTGATTTCTGTGAGTTCTGAGGCCAGCCTGGTCTATGTTATGAGTTTCAAGCCAGCCAGGGCTACACACAGAGATCCTGTGTCAAAACAAACAAACAAAAACAAAATAGGCTCAGTGTCATTGCATATCCTTAGTCTCAGCACCAGGAGGCAGAGGAACCGGATCTCTGTGCATTCGAGGATAGCCTGGTCTACAGAGTGAGTTCCAGGATAGGCAGGGCTACACAGAGGAACCCTGTCTCAGACAAACAAACAAACAAACAAACAAACAGACGAGTTTAAGGCCATGTAGAGCTACATGACACTAAATTAAAAAACAAAAGTATCTGGGAGTACGTATATAGACCTTACGCAGGTACAGCGTCATTTTATATCAAGATCTTGAAAATCCATAGACTTTGCTATCCATGAGGGGTACTGGAGTCAATGGCCATGATCCCAAGGGACTACAGTACCTACCCTGAAGGGCTTGTGAAAATGATGGTGTGGAAAGCAGACTGTAGAGATGGCTCAGTGGTTAAGAGCATTGGCTGCTCTTCCAGAAGACCTGGGTTTGGGGTTTGATTTCCATTGACCCACATGGTGGCTCACAGCTGTCTGTGACTCCAGTCCCAGGGGATCCAATGCCCTCTTCTGGCCTCTGCACAGATATACATGCAACCAAAACATGCGTACAATGTGTGTGTGCAATCAAAACATGCATACACGTTTTAAGTGTGTAAAACTTAAAAGATGCTAATAAAATGCAAAACATACAAGTCATCGTCGGCTTACAGTGAATGCACATTGTGATCCTGATTATTAGTGTCAGTTGCCAACCGCTGTTGAGGCTGTGGCATTGCTCCTGAAGAGGGGGGGCCCTCTTCCCTCCCCAGGCATCTCCTATGTTGCACCTCATCTCAACAACCTGTACTTCCTGCCCCTGTGCCGGCGCTGGGGTGTCTATGCAGTGGTGCGGGGGCTCTTCCTGCTCAAGCTGAGCCTTAGCCTCCTCATGCTGTTGGCTGGCCCAGACCACCCTGGCCTGCTTTGCTTCTTCATTGCCAGGTACGCCCTGCCTACCCTTGCCCCCACACCTCTGTGTCCACTTGTTTTACTCTTGCTTCTCTCTCCCTGGGCAGCAACCGTGTCTTCACTGAGGGTACCTGTAAGCTGCTGACCCTGGTGGTCACTGACCTGGTAGATGAGGACCTGGTGTTGAACCATCGGAAACAGGCAGCCTCGGCACTCCTCTTTGGCATGGTTGCCCTGGTGACCAAACCTGGCCAGACCTTTGCCCCACTGCTGGGTACCTGGCTTCTCTGCTTCTACACAGGTGAGGCTCATGGAACATAGCTTACTTGTACCAGCTCTGGGTCTAGTGAGGGGACAGAAGGGCTGTGACTAGGCCTGTGCTGCCCTGGGATGCTAAGCCTTGCTGGCCCGCCCCTCCATTTTCATAAGTGAATTGATTCATTCAACAAATTAGTGTAGACTTGTATAGGCTGGGCCCTATGTGTAAGGGAAGTAATGGTAAGGCATGTGGAATCTTCGCTACCTTGGAGCTTAGATGGGCATTGGTGGTGCATGCCTTTAATCCTAGCACTCAGAGGGCAGAGGCAGACAGGTCTGTGAGTCTGAGGCTGTCCTGGTACAGAGTGAATTCCAGTATAGCCAGGGCTACACAGAAAAATCCTGTCTTAAAGAAATTGTTTTTACTGGGCGGTGGTGGCGCATGCCTTTAATCCCAGCACTTGGGAGGCAGAGACTGACGGATTTCTGAGTTCGAGGCCAGCCTGGTCTACAGAGTGAGTTCCAGGACAGCCAGGGCTACACAGAGAAACCCTGTCTTGAAAAACCAAAAAAAAAAAAAAAAAAAAATTTTTAGACTGGGAGAGAGATGGACAGGGTAGCATATGGACTGGCTTTTCAGTGTTTCAGGAAGCTGTTTGGAGAGTTAGAGGCTGGGATGAGACATGGTCTGATGTTTGGAAGAAGTCTGCTTTGATTGCCTGAGTAGTACGCACAGATCAGCGTGTTCAGTAGCTTAGAGACGTAAGGATGCTGTGGTAGGTTGGACTAGGGAGGAGGCAGGTGCATTGGGAACTGAGGTGACACGTGAGGATGGGTGTTGGGGAGTGACAGCTGAGGACCGAGAGGCATGAGATATGGTGGTGTCTCTCTAGAGAAAGGAAGGACGTGAGAAGGGGTTCGAGGTCTGCAGAGTAAGTTCCAGGTCAGCCAGGGCTACACAGAGAAACCCTGTCTCAAAAAGCAAACCAGGCTGGAGAGATGGCTCAGTGGTTAAGAGCCCTGGCTGTTCTTCCAGAGGTCCTGGGTTCAATTCCCAGAGCCCACATGGTGGCTCACAACCGTTGGTAACTCCAGTTCCAGGGGATATGACACCCTCACACCTATGAACATAATTAAATGATTAAAGAAAAAAAAAGCAAAGCAAACAAACAGAAAATGGGATGTGGTGGGAGTTGGCAAGATGGATGAGACCCTTAATCCTAACACCTAGGAGACAGAGGCAGGAGGATAAGGAGGTCAAGGTTACCTTCAGCTACAAATTGACCGAGAACAACCTGGGGTGCATGATACTGTCTCAGTAAACAAATGTGTGCTGGATGCAGCTCAGCTGCAGGAGCGCTTGCCAAGCGTGTACGAAGGCTTGAGTGTGACTCTGAACCACACAGCTAGCTGTGTTGACACACACCTGCAGTCCCAGCACTCAGGAAGTGCAGGCAGGCAGAAGTTTGACGTCATCCTCGAGTACATAGGAGTTTAGAGCTAGTGTGGACTATATACCCTGATGATGATGAGGATGATGATGATGAGGAGGAGGAGGAGGAAGAGGAGGAGGAAGAGGAGGAGGGGGAAAAGAAGAAGAGGAAGCAGCAACAGTAGCAGCAGCCAGATACAGTGGCATATGCCTTTAATTCCAGAACTTGGGAGGCAGAGTCAGGAAGTGAATTCTGTGACTTTGAGGCCAATTTGGTCTACATAGTGAGTTGCAGGACAGCCAAGATTACTAGAGAGACCCTGTTTCAAAAAATTTTTTAGAATAAAATGTAGATGATAGGTTTGTGGTTAGGAATTGTTGTATATCCCTATAATCCCAACCACTCATTAAGACTGAGGCAGACTACAAGAGTGAAGCCAGCCAACAGTGACAGTTAAAAAGACATGTTTTGTTTGCTTTTTGTATTTTGAGACAGGGCTTCTCGATATAGACCTGGCTGTCCTGGAACTCACTCTGTAGACCAGGCTGGCCTCGAACTCAGAGATCTGCCTGCCTCTGCCTCCTGAGTGCTGGGGTTAAAAGTGTGCACCACCATACCTGGCCTGTCTTAAACTTGTAGTTGTGGTTTAGGACACTTGTAATGTTTCAGATTCCATTCTGTGGGCTTTGGAGGGCTAACGGGGCTGACCATGCTTCTTCTGTATGCTCTTGCCCTAGGTCATGACCTTTTTCAGCAGCCCCCAATGACTTCTGTGGGGAGCGTTCGGCCATGGCCCGAGCCGCCAGCCCCCGCCCCCGCGCAGGCTCCCACACTCCGCCAGGGTTGCTTCTACCTGCTGGTCCTTGTTCCCATCACCTGTGCACTGCTGCAGCTCTTCACCTGGTCCCAGTTCACGCTGCATGGGAGACGCCTACGTGTGGTCAAGGCCCAGCGTCAGAACCTGGCCCAGATCCATACGCTGAACATTAAGATAGTGTGAGAGGTCTGGCAGAGCCACTGTGCTGAGATCATTGCCCTAGCCCCAGAAGCAACCTCTCTTGCCAGCTAGCATCCTGCTTCCTCACCAGTCCAGAGAACAGATGGTGTCCGGGAGCTCCTGGGGCCAAACCAGGAGCATCACCAAGGTCTGCCCTTCTTTAGTCATGTGACTCAGCTTGTGCAAGGGCTGGGCTGTATGTGCTCAGGGACCTGCGACTCCTGTGGGGCAGGAAGAAAAGGAGGACCAGAAAGGGTAGGGCTGAGTGTGGTGTCCAGGGGCTGCCTGGGACCTGTAGCTGGGGCTGGCCACTCGGTGGGCTTAGGAGCTTCTGATGCTGTGACTACCCCTTTTGCCCACTCAGGTGAAGCTGACTGAAAGTGCCACTTGCCTCTCCTTCTAGTAGTTTCTCTCAGAGGGTTCTCTGCTTCAGCTGTGCTTGAAGTGGCATGCCCTCTCTGCTATAGCCCGCCCCCCACCCCACCCCCAAGCTCAGCCTCTAAACGCTAAAGAGGTTCATCTCATTACAAATCAAGTAAAGCCAGTCATTCCGATTCTTTGAGTCTGTGCCTTGTGTAGGAGGCAGGCAGACAAGGTTGTTGGGGGCTGGGAACAGGAAAAGCTCCCCAAGGTAATTTTCCTAGAGATACTAGGATAAAATTGCAAGTTGTAAGCTGAACTTGGTGATTTGTGCCTATAATCCCAACATCTGGAAGGCTGAGGCAGGATTGCCCTAAGTTCAAAGCTAGCCTAAAAAACAACCAATGGACCAAACAAAAAACGACTGATGTCACCAACAAATGAATCCAGCAGACTGCTGGGCGATCAGGCCTGGAATCTGTTCCCTCAGCACACTTCCCACACACCATTGCAAAACAGTCGTCAAAAAGGAGCCTCTGCTAGGGTAGGGAGGGACTCTAAGCCCGGAAATCACCTGAGAGCTTCCAAAACACCAATGCCTGAGTCTTTGCCAAGATTCTGGTTGAATGGGTCTGAAAAGGGTGTAGTCTTTATATGGTGAAAGTCTCCATGTGGGTTCTGAGGGTCTGCACAGGGGACCAGACTTTCTAGGGCATATGGCCCAGCCAATGAGCAGTGGTTCTCTCCAAGTTACTTTTTGTGGTTCTGAAAGTCTTTATGAAATGAATCATAAAACACCCATATTTTATAGTTATTGGGGGAGTGTAAACATTTATTAGGTATCTGGCAACTTCCTTTTAGATAAAGGAATTTATTTTTGTTTTTTTTGAGACAAGGTTTCTTCTTAATGTAGCCCTGGCTATTCTGAAACTTACTCTGTAGACCAGACTGGCCTCAAACTCAAGAGATCCATCTGCTTCTGCATCCTGAGTGCTGGGATAAAAGGCGTGTGCCACTACACCCAGACCCCTTAACTTAAAGAGGAATTCCGTATTACATTTACCGTATATGTATGTGGAGTGGAAGTCAAAGGTCAGCTTCTGCATGGAGTCAGTTCTATGTGGGTCCTGAGAGTCAAACATGAACAGAATTGTTGGCACCTACCCTCAAATCTGCAGTCACCTCAATGGATCAAGCTCTTCATCTTCCATCTTCAGTTTGTGGGTGGGTGAAGAGGACTGAGGGTAGAAAGGGCCGCATGTGTGCTAGGCAAGTGTTCTGCTACTGAACTGTAAACCCCAGCTCTCTTCAGTGTGAGACAGGATTTCATTACATTGTGGAGACTGGCTCAGAACTCACTGTGTAAACCACACAGTTCTTAAACATGTGAGTCTCCTGAGTAGCTAGGATTACAGGCCTGGTTCAAATGTCTTATACAAATGAGTTTTTAGAACTTCTGTGGTAGTGCACAACTTTAATCCCAGCACTCGGGAGGCAGATTTTGTGAATTCAAGGTCAGCCTGGTCTAAAGAGAGTTCCAGGAGAGCCAGGACTGTTACTCAGGGAAACCCTCTCAGAAAAACAAAACCCTTTGTTTTCAGAGATGGAAGTCAGGCTTCACCTACAGATTTGAGTATACACAGGAATTAGACCCTCAATTCTTTTCCCATCCACCTACAGGTTGGGGTATTGTCTGCATATCACATTCCGGGAGCTACCCTTTTTTCTACCAGGCACTGGTCACAGAAAGAGGTCAGACTGATGTATCTACCGGAACGACTTTATTTAAGTACACTGGGCCCCACCAGGCAACGTGGCTTTGCGAGGCTGTGCAGGGACAGGCTTGGGCTGAGAGGTGAGCTGGTTAAGCGCGCTGCAGTTCATGTTGCCACACTGATTCCACACACACCAGCTTTACATCTGGCAGGGGCCTTTGGTCATAGGATGGTGGAGAGATACTGTCTGGAATCTGGAACTGAGGTGAGACTTGGTACCACTGGTGAGGACAGGCTCACCCTAGCTTTGTACTGGGTACAAAGGCCCTTGGACTGCTTCCAAGAACAAGGCTGGCGCCCATCAGATCTTGGCACTTTGGTCTGGCCCCTTCTCTCCAATCTGACTAACCTAGAAGGGGCCTCCCTGCCACTTTGACTTAGTCCCCTGGTCAATTAAGAGTGGCAAAAGGCAACATGGTTAACTGCAGCTTGCTTTGTTTTAAAGGGTCTAGATCTCCAACGCACCTCCCTCGCAAGGGGCCACTGCCAAGGAGTGATGCTACTTCCTGTCTTGTCTTAGAAAATCCAACCACAAGCAGCCTGTTGGTTCCAGGGCAGTGAGGAAGTGGGGTTAGGAGAAAGAGGCTGGCTGGGGAACCTTCGTGTGCGGCCTCCAATCCTGCAGGCCCATGAATACTGTCAGTTCACCATCAGCAGGGAATGACAGAGCCCCGATACTGTGGAAAGCCTAGGTGCTGTAAACATTAGTGTAAGCAAGGTGACCAGTGGGCAGGAGACAGTGAGCCCTCTCTCTGTAGTCCCTTTACTGAACAAACACGTCAATAAATAAAACCGTGGCGATGGTATTGAAACCAGGATGTATGAGAAGCAAACAGCAGGACCTGGAGCCCACAGTCCTTACAGTTTCCCAGGAGCCCTGCATGTGGCTGGGGCTTGTCAATTAACCCTGAAGCTATCTCCTGTCCTCAAATGCCCAGTGTGGTCCTAATTCCTACCTGGTTCCCAGCTGGACATGAGTGTACCCTGCTCTCTCCTGAACCTGGTCTCTAACAACAGCTAGAGTGCTTTTTCAGTTCCCAAACCCAAACTGAAACAAACCAGACAGAACTTAACTCCAGCCCCCGTTCTCAGTCTGATCCAGAGGCATGGACAGCACAGAATGACGAGCAGGGGAGACAGCAGCTGTCTCCGGCCTCAGGGCACTCCAGTGGGGTGCGGTGGGGCCAGCCCAGCCTAGATTGGCAGCAGCAAGGTCTCTCTATGTAGTAACCATAGTTCCAACCAGCCAAAGGCTTGGCTGAGAAAGGAATGGGCCTCTGCCAGAGCTCTTCCTGTAAGGGGCCAGTTAGTAGACAACCCCAGGCCTCAGGCCATCACCATCGTGGGTAGTTCAATGTCCTTTCTGGGCCCAGGATTTCTGGGCCACACGGCACTCGATAGTCGCACACACTCATACCATACCCACACACTCACTCACACACACAGGCAGTTCCTCTCAAACACTCCAACTCAAGAAAGCGAGTTTGAAAGTGGAGTTAACTTCAGAGAGAGATGGCGATGTTGCAACATTAGAAGGTTTTCCTGTGGATGGATCGGGCACCATCTTCTTCGTATTCCTTCTTAGAGACCCACATCTTCTTAAAGGTGTCCAGGGAAGCAAGGATAGAGCCTCTGGAGTGGAGAAAACCCAGAGACGCAGTGTGAGTGAGGGAAATTGTGCAGCTGGTCAGTCCCCCAGGGGCCATTTTTAAAGGGACAAGGTAGGATGGTGGAATGGTCAGAACCCCGCTTCCCATTCTGCTCTTATTCCATGGGCTACTCACCCAATCCATGTGGAGTACAGTCTCTCCTGGGGTGCAGATATCTGCAGAGGGGGACGGGAAGAGGAATCTAAGACTCCCAGACCCCCTAGTCATCCCTCTCTTTTACATGTGTGTGTTCCCAGGTGTGTGGGAGCATATGTACATGTGGGTGTGTGCACACGTGTGTGCATGGAGGCCCAGTGTTGACATCTGGTGTCTTCCTTGATCATGCTCTACTTTATTTATTGAAGCAAGAGTCTTCCTGAACCCAGAGCTTGCCAGTTCTGGCTCGTCTACCTAGCCGGCTTCCCTTGGGGACCTTATCTTTACGTCTCAGACACACTGCCATTATAAGAGGCTGCCATGCCTGCCTGGCTTTGATGTGGTTTCTGGGGATCTGAACTCTGGTCCTGATGCTTACACTGCAAGAGCTTAATCTACTGAACCGTTGTCTCAGCCTCACACCAGCCCTGCCCACCTTCTCACTGCTAAGTGCAGTGGACGCATGCCATGCAATAGGCTCTTTGCGGGAGCTGTGGTCAGCCTGAGCCTACGTGGAGAGAGACACCTATGGAATGAATTAGATGCCTTCTTTTGGGGCCCGTCCTCTCCACATGAAGCTCCCTTCAGCAGACACTCAGAAGGCAAACTGCATCACCTTGCATCTACCTTGGGGGGTGGGAGAAGGCAGGGCAACAGTAAGGTTAACCTTTCAATTCAGTTTCCTGACAGACCTTAGCTAGGATCATGGGGTGCTGAGTTGCCTGAAGAGCCTGGGAGACCCAGACAGGGAACAGCACCACCCCGTGTCCTTGGAGCCTCACTGGACCCAGCCCAGCTCCAGCATGCCTACCCTGATCTTCACGTCCTTCGGAGCTAGTTTCTTCACTTCGCTCAGTAGCCTGTCTCCAAAACCTATAAAAAAAAGAGCAGAAAAGGAGACCCCCCCCCCAAATTAATTCTTTGGGCATCTGATCATTGCAGGATGCTAACCCTGAGGATGCTCCCCTAACAAGAGTCCCAAGAGCACAGACCAACCTTTGAACAGGGTAGAACCTCCTGAGAGGACAATGTTAGAAAAAAGTGTACGCCGTAAATCCATGTCTGATTTCTGGATAGCAAACACCAGCACCTCATGGATTCCTTCACTCTCCTCACCAATCAAGTCTGGCCTGAACAGCAGCTCAGGGGCCCGGAACCTGGAAGGGCCGATCTGGAGGGTAAAGAGCCAGCTTAAGAGGTTGGGCTGGGACTGAGGTCCCTTGGAACTGGGAACAGAAGTCTTTCTGCCTATATCTTAGGAATCAGGTGTCTGTGAAGTCCAGGCTGAAGACAAACCTTCTGTGACAAGGGTCTCAAGGAGCAAAGACAGGGCTCCTGGGAACAGATGGAAGAGACAGTTCTGGGGAACTAGGGAGGGGAAGTGCTTATCTTACCCATAGCTCTGGAGCTCCAGGGAGCAGTGACTGTGCTAACCTGTACCCAGGGATGGTTAAGGACAGCAAGCACTACACCTCCACCTCTCTAGGGAAGTCCCTCCGGGGCCGCTTCCCTTTTATATACAGAAGCACAGGGCTGCTTGTACTCTCAGCTCTGCTGTTGAGGTCCTTGCAGGACCTTCAGCTGAGTCCAAAGCTTAATGGTGGGTATGAGGGGAAAGGAGAAAACGGTGGTCACTACCTCAATGGTGCTGCCGTCGGGCAGGTAGTACTGAGCCTTCTCCGTCTCCAGTGTCTCATCCTTCTGGGGGTTTATGGACAGGTAGCAAGCTCTCTGCAAAATCAAATATGACAGTTATATTTGTAGGAAACTTAGTGCACTCTCTGCAGCGACTGCCTAAAGTGTTTGCCTATGAGCAGGTGCAGAGGTCTGTCACACTGCCCTGGAGACACTTAAAACATGAGTTCTTTTTTTTTTTTTTTTCCGAGACAGGGTTTCTCTGTGTAGCCCTGGCTGTCCTGGAACTCACTCTGTAGACCAGGCTGGCCTCGAACTCAGAAATCCGCCTGCCTCTACCTCCCAAGTGCTGGGACTAAAGGCGTGCGCCACCACCGCCCGGCAAAACATGAGTTCTTGTTCTACTTTCCTGGTAGGCAAACCTGGGAACTTGGCTCAGTAGCCCCCAGGCCTGTGATTACTTAAGTTTAGCCAGGCTCGGGCATCTTCCTCCTCCTACCTCTGGTATGGTTCTGGCTTCCCATGACCAGGTCAGAGGTTTCCCCACAACCTACATGGCAGGAGGATTCAATTTACTTTAGAAGAAAAAGGCATTTCAACTTCTTCAAGGACATGAACCTAAACTCAGATACAGTGGCCCGTCAGGCTTAGGGACTGGAAACAGCTTCTTTCCCACAAGACGGAAGCATTAAGGAAGGTGAAGAAGAGAGATGTACACAGGTACCAGGAGGGTCCAGAGCCTGACCCAGGACCACTGTAGGAGAATCATCTCTCTCCACTCTTACGGTCACTATTCCCACCCCCTGGCCCACAGAAAGCCACTCACTTCCTTTATGGCCTTGACAATCTCAAACTCGGAGGAGGAGTGGAAATCATAGCCCTCCTTCCGTAGGTAGAGGCGGAGGAAGCGAGAGACATCTCGGCCAGCAATGTCGATGCGCATGATGGAGTGAGGCATGGCGAAGCCTTCATAAATTGGGACCGCATGGGTGACACCGTCCCCAGAATCCAACACCACGCCTGTGGTTCTGCCTGTGGCATAACTGAAGCAAAGGGACAAACAATCACTGAGCCCCATGCCCTCTGGAAAGAAACCCACATGTTAAAGCTCTGAGTCAGCAGAGCTGAGCCTTGGTCCACTGTTCTCCTGGGCCCTCTGAGTGGGTAGGGCACTAGGGAGACCTTGAAATACAGAGTGAGGAGCACGGCTTCTCCAGCATCCTAAAGAACAGGCCTTCTGGTCTGAGAGGACAGCCTGGTGTTTACTGCTCTGGGGACCTGACCTAAAGGGCAGTTTCAACTCCCAAGAGAAGAAGAGGGAACCAGCAGCCAGCAGAAGAAGAAAAGGAACTGATTTTTGCCTTTCCGGATTTAGTCTTGCAGGAATGCTGGCCCAGTACTATCAGACAGAGATTTCCATTTGTTCAGAGGTCAGAAATTTAGAGTTGGATATGAAATCCTTCAATTTATTTTTGTTTTGGGAGGGTGCTGGGGACTGAACCCTAGGCCTCTGTACACACTAGGCAAGTGTTCATCTCCAGCCCAGGTGCTCTCCCAGCCTGTAAATACTGGCTCATGATTTAACGGGGTCAAATACAGAGTCTGTGTAGGTCATAGGGACCATCTCAGCAGCTGAGGGAGCTAGGCATGAGGCAGGGTGAGCAGCATGGCAGGTGTGGTGCTGTGTGGATCTCAGGTATGCCAGCCCAGCAGAATGTCTGGCACACAGTCAACAGAGTGAATACTGGGCTACATTAAGGAAACTTGAGGAAGGGCTGTGGCAGTGTGTGACCTCAGACCTGGACCCCAAACCTGAGAGCACTGGGTGCCTGCCACACTTTGCCTTTGGTTTATCTGAGAAGCTTTGCTGTCTAGTTTCAGTAAGAGTTTCTTCTTCTCACTACCTTAGCTTGTCCTCACCGGGAAGAGTGGATGTGCGCACAGGCTTAGGTGACTGTGAGCCCACACCAGCCAGGCTGCTACTCACAGGCTAAGCACAGCTTGCATGGAGATGAAGAGAGCTGGTACATTGAAGGTCTCGAAGAAAACTTCTGCAGCTCGCTCTCGGTTTTTCCGAGGGTTTAAAGGTGCCTCAGTCAGGAGCACAGGGTGCTGGGGAAAGAGGCCCAGGAGACAGGCAGTGAGGTCAGCGTTCCGCCCTGGTGACCCTCCCTTGAAAGTCTGTAGTCCAGGGGGCCTTTGTCAGCTGAGGCTGTCACAGCCCATGCCTGAGTCTGTGTCTTCACTCTCCCACATCACATCGGAAGTCCCACTCTGTCCTCACCCTCTGGGTGCACCTCCTTGCCCTCCAAAGTCCCTCTATAGGCCCCTGAGGCTGCTGTGGTCACCTCCTTGTCAGGAAGATTTGGTTAAACTCTGAGTTATTATATTTACCTGCCTCTGCTTCCTAAGTGCTCGGATTAAAAGAGTGTACCACCATGCCTGGGCTATTTACATTTTAATTCTTTTAAATTATGTTTATGTATGTGCATCTATACATATAAATGCAGACACTGGTAGAGGCTAGACCCCCTTGGAGCTAGAGTTACATGGGGTTATGAACCATCTTGCACGAGCGCTGGCAACAGAGCTCTGGTTCTCTGGAAGGGCAGAGCGTGTTCTTAACTGCTCAAGTGTCTCTCCAGTACATATGGAAGGTTTCTGAAAGCCTGACCATTTCCTCTCCCTGAAAACTTACACATTCTCCTTTTATCTCTGAGAGTCGCTTCCTTGGAGTTAATGGTCATGGGCTCAGACGTGGGTTTGAATCCCATCTCTACCCCTTTATTCATTGGATGATTTTGGAAATACCACTTAGATTTTCTGATTTCCTTTTCATTTTTATCTTCCTACATGTATTAATTTTGTGTGTGTACATGTGCACATGTGAGATCAATGGTCACCTTGTAGAGTCGCTTCTCTCCTTCTGCTTAGCATCCTGCCGCCCTTTTTGGTTTGTTTTCTATTTTCTTCACACATATAGGCCTGGTTAGCTTTAAAAGACGCTGTATAGCTAAGGACCACCTTGAGCCCCTAGCCTCCTGGTATTACAATGTGTACCATCATGCTCAGTCTGCTTTTCCATTTCCCTGTTTGTAAGAGGGAGATAATTCTTCCTAGGTCTTTTGGTTTTATTCCCATTTTTTATATTTATTTATGAGCATGTATGTATGCACACATGCATGGGTGCCTTCAGATGCCAGAAGAAGACATCATATCTGCCTAGAATTGGAGCTACAGATGGTTGTGAGCTGCCATGTGGATGCTAGGAACCAGGCTGGGGTCCTCTACAAGCATGGTGAGTGTTCTTAACCACAGGGCCATCTCTCCAGCCCCTATTTTTTTTTTTTTTTGAGACAAGAGTCTTGCTACATAGCCCTAGATTGGTCTCACACGTTCCTCACTCTCCTGCCTCTGCCTTCCAGGTGCTAGCACTAGGAGCATATTACTACACCTAACTTGAGTTCTAATATTTTAGTAGGAATGATATGGAGATAACACTAGAATGTATCTCAAGTATACAGCTCAGTGCTGTACATATTTATACTCAAACGCTTTGGCAGTCATCAGGGTCATTCTCATCCTCCTCGGCATCTTTGAAGTGGAGTTCTAGCCAACTCGGCATCCTGCACAGGAGTGTCCTACACACAGGCCCCTCACCTCCTCTGAGAAAGTTTGCAGCTGGTCCTTAGAATAGACATATTGCCAGATGCGTTCCATGTCATTCCAGTCCTTGACGATGCCATGTTCCATGGGGTAGCGGATTGACAGCAGCCCTCGGTGCTCCTGCAAGTAGAGGGCACAGTCTATAGCAGAGTCAGGCTCTGCCTGGCATCCTGCCCTCCCGGCCTGAGGTAGAATCACTGTCAAGGAACCTCAGCCTCCTCGGGTCCCAGCCTGCTGTCCTCATCCACACTGAGTAAAGGCATTCATTCTCTAAGTTGGAGACTGCGTGTTACAAACTGCTGGACTCTCCGAGTGAGCAGCTGAGAAGCAGAAGGCTTCTGAATTTCCAAAGCTCCCAGGTGCCCCCTCATTGTTTAGTTCTGGGACACAGTGTCCTGGCCCTTACCTCAGTTCTTGGAACCAAAATGGGCAGTACTGGCTCTGTAGTTATGTCTCCTAGAGCCTGTCTGCGGGCTTTGCCAAAGCTAGGGTAATTAACTCATACCTTGGATATGCCAGATTGGATTTCCCCTCTGAATCCTTCTTGCCAAAAATATACCCAAGCCAATCAATCTAATGACTGCAAGACAGTGACAGGACACAGAGATACAGTAACAGTGCCATTTCCTAGACTGGTCTCTGTCCTATCATGTATGTATCCTTAAGGCCAGAGTCTGTGCCTGGGAGAAAAATGACTCCTTTCCTCATTGCTATGTTCACTGTGCTGGATAGGCAAGTCCTCTGTAAGCCCAAGGCTTCTTCTGTTAGTCTGGGAATTACCTCAGCTTTGGGGCCAATGAAGATGTCGCCTTCGAGGGCTCCTGCCATGACACGAACATGTTTGGGTCTGCCCACACTAGAGAAGACAGCAGAAAGGAATGTGTTTTATTTCAAGACAAACGTCCAAGAGCACAGTCCAGATAGAGCAATGTACCCTCAGTCTACCGTGCTTGTCCCCGAGCAAGTGGGGAGGGCTCAGTTAGTTTCCATTTCCTTTCTTATACATTTTTCTGTGTTTTATATGAAGAACATATACTATTTGAAGCTACTTGCATATTATCTATTTTTATTATATTGCTTTATAAATAATACTTTTTGTTCTCCTATTTTCCCATTGTATATTAGATAGAGATAAATTCTAAATGGGGCTGGAGAGATGGCTCTGCTCTTCCAGAGCTCCTGAGCTCAGTTCATAGCAACTGCAAGGTGGCTCACAACCATCTATACTGGGATTGATGCCCTCTTCTGACATGTAAGTATATACGCAGATAGAACACTCAATAAATCTTAAGAAAAAAAAAGAAAGAAAGAAAGATAAAGCATCATTGGGTAAGGTGGCACATGCCTTTAAAAAAAAAAAAGATTTTGTAAATGGCCAGGCAGTGGTGGAACACACCTTTAATCCTAGCACTCAGGAAGCAGAGGCAGACAGATGTCTTAGTTTGGAGCCAACCTGGTCTACAGGGTGATTTCCAGAACAGCCAGGGCTACATAGAGAATCCTTATCTTGAAAAAATTATAAATAAATGACGAACTAACAGTAGGAGCTGGAATTACAGCTCAGTGTCGGAGCCTAGCATGCTCTGTATTTTATCTCTATTTTCACAAAAAAGAAAGAAAAAGAAAAAAGTAAAAAAGGAAGAAAGAAAAAAATCTTTTATCTCTTAAGTCCCTGTCCCAGGATTACTGAGTCTGTGATGCTGTTGCCCAGGAACCCCCATTTCTTTCCCAGGTAAGGTCTCCCTAAGCCCGTGACACCTTCTTCTCCCTGTATACTGTCCCTTGTAGAAAAGGTCTGAGCCCTCAGTCTAAGATGGCAAATGTGGCTTACTGTTAAATAAACTCTGTAGTAGAGAATGGGAGAATTAAAAACATGTTTAAAAATGTATTTAGTTGTGTGTCAAGGAGTCAGTTCTTTCTTTCTACTGAGTGGGTCCTGGGATCCAGCTCAGGCTGTCATGCTCGGGACAGGTGCCTTTACTTGCTGAACCATCTCTGGCCTGGGAACAGAGGATTTTAGAGAGTGGCTGAGTGTGGTGCGCCTGCTACAGTCCTGGTACTGCAGAGGCTGAGGTACAGGATTATCTGAACTCAAGAAACCGAGCTCAGCCTGGCAATACAGGGAGACTGTTTAAAAACTTAGACTTGGAGGGCTCCGTGGTTCTCTGAGTCAGCAAGGATAAAATTGGTGACAATAGATACAGTCAGACAGTGTTTGCTTTTGAGGCAGGGCCTCTCTATATAGTCCTGGAACTCAATGGTTAAAGGCGTGCGCCACCACATCCAGCCTTAGAGTCAATTGTTTGTTTTGTTTTTTGAGACAGGGTTTCTCTGTGTAGCCTCAGCTGTCCTGGATCTCGCTTTGTGGACCACATAGGCTTCAAACTCACAGAGATCCACCTGCCTCTACCTCTCAAGCACTAGGATTAAAGGCGTGTGCCACCATGCCAGGCAGAATCAGATGTTTAAAACGAGGAGCAGCAAGATGGTTGAGTGGGTAACGGTTCTGATGTACCAGTCAGTGACCTGAGTTTGATTCCTGGAATGCCATGAAGCTGAGAGGAGTGACCCAACCGCACAAAGCTGTGCTCTGACCAGCACACACATGCTGCAGCACACACATGCTGCAGCACACACATGCTGCAGCACACACATGCTGCAGCACACACATGCTACAGTACACACATGCTGCAGTACACACATGCTGCAGCACACACATGCTACAGTACACACATGCTACACCACCTACCTCACCAACACACATGCACTCACACTCACCTAAGAAAAAAGAGGTCTTTGCTGTACCTCTCAAAATATGCCAGGTAATACCATCCCTTTGTTTATCCCAGACCCAGTTCACAGCCTTTGCTTATTGTTTAGGTACCAAGGCTGACTTGAGGGAGAATTCATCCTCCTCAACAAGGCAGGGGTGGTCACGGGGCAAAGATGACAAGATCCCCAGAGTCACAACCAAGCCTTAAAATGACTTACTAGTTTGGAAAGCAGTATTTGGGGATCTGATCACCAGCAAAACCAGCTTTAATCACACCGGATCCCTGGGGAGAGAGGACAAAGAGAAGTGAGAAGTGAGAGCCACCACTGGATGGTTCTATTTCCATGAAGAGAGAAAGCCTTTATATCTGTGTGTGTAACAAACATGTGGTCAGCAGCATCGGCAATGGTGGATACACACCCAGGAAGAGAAGGGACTAAAAGCAGTGAGCAGTGACTCTGACTGCATCCTCAGTGAACTGTCCAAGTTCGCTGTAGTTTTCTCCTTGATTGCATGGAACACACTTTGAGCATTATGTATAACGTTGGTACAAATAATACCAATACATATGATACTGACAGGGTCAGGGAGACGGCTTATTAGATCAAAGCACTTGTCATGCACATCTGCTGGAAGGAGACTTCCTCTCTGGTCTCTACATGAGTGCTGTGTACACACTTGCACTCTCTACACATATATACACAACAATAATTAATAAAATAAAAATTTAAAATATGAATAAATGGAAGAGAAAAAACAGAAAGCATGAGAAATTGCAATCAGTTAGAAGTTCCGTTGTAGTACACACGAGGGAGGCGGAGGCCGACTGCACTCTTTCCTGTTCGCTGGCATGTGAGGCTTTCAGCTTCGCTCCCACCAGGCCACAGCTCTCCCTGTCCCCAGGTCTCTAGCACACATCCCACTGCAAGTATCTTACACTGATTTTGACAAAAGTCACCTCTCAGGCTCTTACTGAAGGGACAGAGCACATCCTCCATAGACGTGGGTATTTCTTACAAGCCAGTCTTTTACTCCTCTGTTTCCTGATGGTGAAGAGCCTTAATGACTTGTCTGAAGGCAGAAGACAAGATGCAAATTCCTGCTCCAATATTTGGCATGTCAGTGGAGTGCAGTGTCAGGAAAAAACCATTTCTCTAACAAGCATCTCTCATACCTTCCAGGACACAACCCATGTAAACACTGACTTTAGTTAGGCCCTCATACCAACTGTGTGCAGGGAAAACATCAAGACCTGATCTTGCTTGAAAACACACTCCATTCTTCTTCTTCCTCTTCCTCCTCTTCTTCTTTCTTTTGGAGACAGAGTTTCTCTGTGTAGCTCTGGTTATCCTGGAATTCACTATGTAGACCAGGCTAACCTCAAACTCACAGGGCTCTTCCTGCCTATGCCTCCTGAGTGCTGGCATCAAAGGCGTGTGCCATCTCCCATTATCTTCCTTCTAAACTTAACTACTACCATATCTGATTTCAATGTCCTCCTACCTGATCTGGTCTGCACTCAACCACTTCTCCTGGGGCACAGCAAACTTCCAGAGGCCACACAGTACCAGTAAATACACAAGAGACTCATGGTGGTCAAGGTTATCTTTGCACCAACAGCTTTCTTGCACACCCTTGCCTCCCTGCCTCCTGCTCCCCTACAGAGAGGTGTGGAGGGAAGAGAGGTGTGGATACAGAGAGGTGATGAGACCAGTCACCTTGGTGTCTGCCTCTGGCAAGTCTGACGACAGGGGTATGTATGATGAGAAGTGGAGAAAGGACAGGAAAAGCAATATGGAGGGGACAGCAGGGGACAGCAGGGGACAGCAGGGACAGCCAGTTCTCTAGCAGAGGAGGAACCTCTATTGGCAGAAGAGGGCAAACAGGGGATACTGAGCAAACTCACTGGCAGCAGACTAGGAACCTAGGAAGGCACAGCTGTGAATTGAACTCACAGTCTAAGAAGGAAGGGGATTCTCCTACTGCAAACCCCGGGGCTTGGACAGGTGGGTGGGAACAGCACTGTGCAAAAGATCTTCAGGAACCTGTCCAAGTTTCTAATAATTGTTCATTGTCTTCATCAGGGTGTGTAATGCCAACAGACTAGTTGGTTCTCCTGGCAGGGGATCAAGACATGAGAAATAAAGGTGCCATCTTTACCTTAGACCAGGATTTAAATTTACTTACTTGAGACAGGATTTCACACGTCCCAGGATGGCCTCAAACCTGTTCTGTAGCAGAAGATGACCCTGAATTTCTGATTTTTCTGCCTCTACTTCCTGAATGCTGGGATTACAGGCACGTGCTATCATACATAGTTCAGATCTGAATATTTTTAAGAGTTGATTTTCCAAGTTGTTTGCTTTTTAGTTTACTAGCACAAAACCAAGAGTATGGGTAACAAGGCAGGTTATGATGTTAGATTCAGCTATTCATCATGACACATGCCTGTTAACAATCCCAATTGGAGGCTGAAGCAGGAAGAGACACAGTTTAAGAAAGCCACATAGCAAGACCTTGTCTAAAAGACAAAAACAAACAAACAAACAAACAAACAAAAACAAAAAACAAAACAAAACCAACTGAGGGGCTAGAGAGAAGGCTCAGCAGTTAAGCGCACTGACTGGTCTTCCAAAGGACCCAAGTTGGATTTCCAGTGTCCACACTGTGGCTCACAGAGGGCAGTACTCTAGTTCTAAAAGGGGAATCTGATGCCCTCTTCAGGCCTCCTCAGGTACTGCATGCATGCAATGTAAAGACATGCAGGCAAAACTAACAGATCGGAACAAATAAACAAACAAACAAAACAAAATAAAACAAAACAAAAAACCCTCAGACCCAAAGCCAAGTGAAGCAATGTCAGATTCCTGTATCGGCCTCTGGTTTTCTAGCTAGGTTATTAGACGCCCAGTTGCAATCCTGTGCCTTCTTGAAGCGTAACCCAGCCCTCACTATTACCTGCACCATGACAACGCACGGATCTCACTGTCGTGTTTAGAATTTGTGCTTCCTATTTCTTTCTACTTCATTCCAACTTCCTCAAGATCAGAGACTTCACTCAGCGGTATTTGTCATTTGCCAGACACTCAAGAGACTAGCTGGTAAGAGTTAAACAGATGAGCAAAAGACTGGCAGAAAGTTGCCAGGCATGGTGGCAAATGTCTTTAATCCCAGTACCAGGGAGGCAGGGGCCAGCCAGTTTTGAGTTTAAGGCCAGCCTGGTCTACAAAGCAAGTTTCAAGACAGGGAGGGACATCGCTGTCTTAAATTTTTTTTTTTTTAAAAGTGGGCAGACACAGGATATAGTCAAGCACTTAATCCCAGCACTTAAGGGGAAGAGGCAAGTGGATCTCTCTGAGTTCATGGTCAGTCTGGTCTACAAAGTGAGACCCTGTCTCAAAACAAACAAACAAACAAACAAAAAAATTAAAATTAAAAAAAAAATTGGCAGAGGAAACCTAAATTCTGAACCTGAGCACCTGGAACGCCAGCGAGCAGCCCCAGGCAGAGGTGGTTCAAGAAGGCAGAGCACACTGGGAGTGATGCACTCAGAGGAACCAGACCCAGCTTGTCCCCATGGCCCTTGCAGGCGTGCCAAGATAAGGCACGGACCAACAAGCAGACGGGAGGCAGTGAGATGAGGCACTGTGCTCTGTGAGCTGCCCCGAAGAGCATACAGGACTGTGCTCTGTGAGCTGCCCTGCAGAGCACACAGGACTGTGTGTGCACCCAACAATGCACTGCCACCCAGCTACGCACTTCAGCAAAGGAAGAGCAAACACCCTGGAGAGGTTTCTTGAAAATGGAGTCTCATGCAATGTTTGATCTAAGAGGACTACAGTCAGCTTCCCCACTGACCATTCTCCTGATGCAGGCAGCAAGTAACTCCCTTAGCAGACTGTCCCAGCACCAGCCAGACGCAGCCTGTGGCTTGAGAAAATTTGTTCTTAAGGACTTCAGGTTGTATGATGTGCTGAGGAAGAGGCTCGTGGTCTTCCAGCTAACACGTAAAGACTAGATTCTGAGAGAGGTGGGGCTACAGGTTCTAGAACAGAGCTTGTTAATTGGTCCTAAGACTTTGATTTGGTCTAGAAAGTATTTTAAAGAAAGACAAAAATCTTATTGAGATAAAATTTACATGTCACATATATAATTTACTAATTTAAGGTATAGTACAATTCAATATTTTTAATACAGTCAGAATCGTATATAACCAATTTAATCATATAGCCAAGGTTGGCCACAAACTTGTAATTAATAGAAGAACATTTTCATTACTTAAAAAGAGGCCTTGAGCCCCAAAATGGTTCTTCTGCATCAGCTGTATCCATCTTTCTAGCATTATGTAACTACCAACGTGTGTTTGTAAATCATAGCACACTTTATATTAATTGGCAATGGTTACAAATGCAAGACTGCATGTGAAGGAAAGATGGCTCATCTATTAAGCACACTTGCTGCTTATCCACAGGACACAGGCTTGGTTCCCAAGCATCATGTCAGAAGCTCTCAACTGACTATTAATTTCAGTCCCATGACATCCGCTGACCTCTTCTGGCTTCCTCAAGCACTGTATGCGTGTGGTACATGTATTTAAATCTCAAAAAGAAAAAAGAGACAGGGGCTGAAGAGACAGCACATCAGTAAGAGTACTTGTTGCTATTCTGGAGGACTGGAGTCTGGTTCCTAGCATCCTCATTGAGTGGCTCACAGCCACCTGTCATTCCAGCTCCAGGGATCCAAGGCAGGGAGCTGGTGGATGGACAGATTGCTCCTGCACTGCTGATGCCAAACAAAACTGATAATGCTTTAGAAGGAAAACAAAGCCTTCCTTTTAATTATGTGTATGTGTGTACGTCTTGTGTGGCGATCTGTGTATATGAGTGCAAGTGCTCTCAGACCAAAGAGGGTGTCTGAGCCTCTGGGGCTTGAATAACAGGTTGTAACCTGCCTATGTGGGTGCTAGGAATCAAGCGCTGGTCCTCTGGAAGAGTACCAAGTACTCTAAACTGCTGAGCCATTTCTCCACTCTGAGATAGATTGTTTCTATGCATTTTTTTTTCTTTCAAACTGAGAAAAAGGAGGCCTAACACCAGGAACTGGCTAAAGACTTAAGTAGTTAACATTGAGAAGAAGAATTTACAAAGACCTTGTCTCAAACAAAACAAGAAAGAAGTGATATTCAATCATTTACAGTATTACATAGCTGAAATCCCTCATCTTTATTGGGTGCTCCACCCCCAACCCCAACACTGGGCATCTTTCATGACAGAGATCATTAATTGTCTATTTACCCACTTAGACAATAAAGCAGCCTTATTTTGTACATAGTGGTACCAGGCCCTAGGCACTGTGTAGAGTTCAGTGGGTAAAGAGAGCAGTGGAGAGATGGCTAGAGAGATGATGGCTCATTAGTTAAGAACACTAGCTGAAGCCCTTTTGGAGGACCAGCGTTTGGATCCCTTCTGCACCGCATCCATGTTGGATAGCCATAAATGCCTGTGGCTCCAGCTCTAAGGAATGGAATGACCTCTCTGGCCTCTAAAGGCATGAACACACATGCTTTTGCATATGTGTGCACACATAAACAAGGGGGGGGAGGAGAGAGGGAGAGAGGCAGAGCATATGGGGGTCTTGGATACTGTGTGGAGTGGATATTATTTTTATTAGAGACTAATAAAAAATGAAAAATCTCACTCCCCTACCCACAAGGGTTAAAAAGTCTACTGAGGCTTGTGAGGAAGACAAAAAAACAAAAACAAAACCCCCAAACAAGCGTCTCATTTAATTAATCTTGTTCCCATCCCTTGCTCCCACAAAGTCACGTCTTAGAGGCTGGCTTCAAACAATGACCGTGCATTTCTGACTTTCCCGTCTCCACCTCTCTAAGCTAAGATCACAGACACGGACCACCATACCTGATTATACACCAGGTTTATGCTGTGCTGCGGATGGAGCCCAGGATTTCATGTATGTCAGACAAGCAATACCATCTGGGCTACACCCCCAGTCTCAGCCTCCCCCTTTAAAAAGGCAGTTCCCAGCAAATACAGGGACTGAGGAACTTGGAACCAGATTTCAGTGTGAGTCTCGGATCCTCAGCTCCCAAAGTGGGTGGTTTGGAAAACGTCCCCAAGCCTCCTTTTCCTGCATAAACTGGAGAAAGCAATCTCCATCCACCCACAATACAAAGAAAAGAACTTAGTGGCAGGTCCAGGTCCTGAGGGTGGGAGGATCATAGTTACTCTGAGAAGGTCAGCCTAGGGCAGAGGGAACTGGTAGTTTGCCTCAATGGAGGGACCTGGAAACTGCACAGGAAGAGTCCAACCAGTATAGGAGGGACCAAACCTTTGAGTGAAATTCAGAAATGGAAGACAACTGCTCCTCCTCATAAAAGCAATATTTAGGTTCTTTCTATTTGTCTTTATTGATGCATTTGTGGAGCGGTGCCTAGCAAAGGAACGCCATTTAGATAAGGCAATGAAGTTTGGGGCACCATTGCTGCGTGACCTTGATCACTTCCACCTTCGGGGTTCGTTCTGTCTGTGAAAGGAGGCGCAAACTTCCTTCTTAACCATTCACTTTTAGGAAGGGTTCAACTTGCATGTTGGTGAAAAGCGCCCTGGAAACGCTAGCGCGCCGGACCACCAAGGTGTCTGATCATCTCCCTGCCTCTCAAGTGGGCCCTGCGGACAGGAAAGCATCTCGCCTGCTTTGTCACTCCCCTTTCTTTTGTACCTTTACTAACTATAATTTATAACCACAAAAATAACTGAAATCCCATGGCCATTTCTGGGCACGGGAATTATCCGGCCCCACCCAGATACAGTTTACTAAATCGCTTCTCCAGCTCACACCCAAGGAAACTGTCCTCCTTCACCGGTGGACCAGCCATCGCCTTCCGCACCCAGAGTTGCCGAGCCAATCCCTACAGCCCTAGTGCACGGCACCGCCCCTTACAGAAGGGAAACACTATGGCGCCCGGAAGAGCGACAAGCACCGGAGCCAATAACTGCAGAGTGCTGTTCTAATCCGGCAAGGCCCAAAGGCGGGATCAATAGATCAAGATAGACAGCAAGAGCAGCCAATTGAGTGATGGAAAACCAGAGCGAAGGCGGGTGCCAGGCTCTAAGAGAACGGTTAAGGCCCCTTGAGCCGAGGGTCCAAGGACCCTTCCCGGACCACAGCTCTTCCTTTTGTCTACACTCAAATTCTCCATTACACAGGTGTTGGCTGGCCGCTCTGCCTTCAAACTATGGATGTGAGGAGGACGCGGGCGGCGGCAGCTGAACCCGCCTGACAGGCCGGGCTAGTGACAAAGAGCTGGCGGCCTAGGCTGAAACCTCGGAAACAATCCTTCCCGGAGGAGAACACAGTCCCTTTAAAGATAGGAAAGATGCTACTCACGTTGTCGATCACAACAGGCTGGTTGGCGATCACATCGTAGGACTCCATGGCAGAGGAATCTTTCCCTCCGAAGAAGGAACTGCCAGCCCGGTCCGCAGCAAACGCCACTGACACGCATGCGCAGTCTAGTCACCGGTACTAGGCATCCAGGGAGCGGCCCGACCTTGCCTTCGAAGAACTACAATCCCCAGCATTCTTTGCTCCGGGGCTTGCGCTCCCAACCTGGTCCCAGCCCGGCCGCGGCCGGGTTTAGGAGATTGGACAGTGTATTTCCTACATATGGTGCACAGAGTTTGTAGTGTCTGTAGATTAAAGAGCCACAATGTTAATGATTATATTGAATGACTGGATTTGAGGTCCCCTCGAAGGAGTTTCCAGCACACTCTTAAATTTTGGAGGCTGAAGTACTTGTGAGTAGTTGCGATTCGATTTGTCAGTAGTTCAGGGGCGGTTGAATTTTACAGATTAGTCCTACCTCTCACCCATTCCTTCACTTGGGCGCTATAAACCATTAATAAACATCTGTGGGACTGGAATGTCGCTCAGTAGTAGAATGTTTGCTCAGCACATACAAGAGCCCCAACTGCACTGGGGTGCTGCTGCATGCCTTTAATCCCACCATTTGGGAGGCAAAGGTAGCAGGATCTCTGAGTTCGAGGCTAGCCTGGTTTACAAAGTGAGTTTCAGGACAGCGTTTACAGTGAGTTCCAGGACAGTGAGGGGCTATACAAAGAAAACCTGTCTCAAAAAACAACACAAAATGAAACAAAAAAACAAAACAAGACAAAACCCGGGAGGCAGAGGCCGAGGCCAGCCTGGTCTACAGCGTTCTAGGGCAGCCAGGGCTACACAGAGAAACCCTGTCTCGAAAAAATAAAACAAAACAAACAAAAAAGAGACAAAACCCATGAAGCAAAAGCCAATGGAGGGTATAAAAAAATACCTGTAAAGTTGGATGCTACGGAATTACTGGTCTAAAGTATCATCTAAAGGTTTAGAAACTGTTTTAGTATCTTTCTTGAGCTACACTCTTAAATTTCAAACTATCCAGGTGAAGAGAAAGAATACGTAAATGCTTTGAAAACAGCCGGGCATTTCCCCCCAGGCACTTTTCGAGTAGCTTTTTGTCAATAGTTCCAAGAAGTATTAGAGTTGTAATATATTAATAATGACACACAGACTAGTGAATTAATCAGTTTGTCAGGCTTATCTTTGCGTATCAGCAAAACAATGTTAAGCGCTTCTTAGGCATTTCTTAGAGCTTTCACAGGACCCGAGCACCTCAAGGTACCGCGTCTCTGATTTAAACTGGGTTCCTCCTAACACTAGGGGGAGGCCAAGATCCTTGGGATGCTCCCAACCCAGGGGGAGGGAGGCGGGGTCTATTGTCAAGTCACGCCCTCCCCACTTGTGACTGGCAAAGACACTAGCCAATGGGTGCCAGGCAATGGCACGCTGACGCCCCGCCCCCTGGAGCTCCCCGCGGTCCCACAGCATCCTCTGGCCGACGTCTTGAAGGCTCCGGCTTGGGCGGACGGAGCCTCGTGCGCAGGCGCGGAGTTAGACCTCGCCGTAGCCCCCATCGCCTCGGGGAGTCTCATCACAGTGGGTCCGCTGGCCCATAGGGGCGCTTTCCCTCCTCTACCCTCCCGGGTTCCCCGCGCGCCCTACGCGCCCCAATGGCGGAGCTGCGGCCTAGCGTCGCCCCCGGCCCCGCCGCGCCCCCGGCCTCTGGCCCTAGTGCCCCTCCGGCCTTTGCTTCACTCTTTCCCCCGGGACTGCACGCCATCTACGGAGAGTGTCGCCGCCTCTACCCTGACCAGCCGAACCCGCTCCAGGTTACCGCTATCGTCAAGTACTGGTATGTTCTGGGCCTGGGGAGGACGGGGGGGCCAGCCGGGAAAGCTTCGAGCACTGGGGACGAAGTAATTTGCAGAAGTGGGAGGAAGAAAATGGTTAAAGTACTTGGGAACCAGGAGCTTCCTGACGCTGTGGAAGGAGTTAAGACAGAAGTTGGGAATGGGGACAAAGGGTTAATGGATCCCTTGAGTAGTGAGGGGTTAACCGGGATTAGGAGAACCGAGAACTGGGGGTGTATACAGGAGCGGAGGGGGGACTGTGAGAGCGAACTGTAAACGTGGAGAAAGGAGGGGGCGCCTGTGGTGGGTCATTAGTGGGCTTGGGGGAGCCGGGGGGCGGCTGGGGTGGAATGGGGGGAGGTGAGGCGGGGCCTGGAGAGCATTTGAGAGGGCTTTGGAGGGCATGGGACCGCGTAGTCTAGGGTGGTCCGGGGACCAGGACGCCCCTGTGGGTTAGGAGGGAGCAAGATGAGGGCATTGTGCCTTTGATGAGTGAAGAGTTGAGGAGAGGCCTTCTTTCAGCCTTCTTTCGGGACCTTCCCGAGCGCAGGAGCTTCTGTCATTCTGTGCGAAGCTGTTGCTCTTGAAGTTTGACAGAGCAGCTCTTCCAGATAAACTTTTTGCTTACTCTGCACGGTTCTCTTTCTCTCTGCAGAGCTTGCTTCTGGCTTTGCAGCTGCTTTTGCTTTAGGATGTTAGTTAAGAACAGGTTTTGGGAGAGCCAAGCTTTGGCTCGGGATTGAAGGGGATCTTAGCTAGCCACGAGGTGCGTGATGGAGACCTGAGTGGGCAGAAGGAATGAAGTGTAGCCTGAAGAAGCGTTTTCTGTCTTGTCTTCAGGATTTCAGCCCAAGTTTAAAGTTGCCCAGCAAAAGATCGGTTTCCAAATGGACTGGCTGTCCTTGGGGTAAAAATGGCACTTGCTAATCTCCTATTCTTGTTTGCAACCTGTTTCTTCAGTCAACCTTCAGACAAAACAAGTGTTATGGAACAAGTCCTCATGGTCTTTCTGGACCAAACATAGACTAAGAGATGGCCACACTCATGCAGGCAGTCGCTGTATTAGATGACTGCTTTCAGTAGATCCTGGAAAGTTCCTGGGGCAACAGCTTGGGGTATTTTACAAAAGATGGACCTGAAGTGGGGGAAGTGGATGTCTTTGTGAGTTACACCCCCTTTAAAGCTGAGTCTTTTTCCTATGTAATATCCTCTTATTGCCTCTGGAGATGGAAGATGGGCTGTACAGGGCTGAGGCTAACTCCCTGTGTCAGTGGGAGCATGCTGCAAAGGAAACTGACAGCTCGGAGGGCCTGGGGACCAGCCTCTGTCTGGGTAGCCAGGAGACATGCCAGCAAGGCATCTGTGCAGGGCAGCCTGTTTCCAGGCTGAAGAGCGTTTGGAAGAGTGCTTCTCTGTGGGAAGGGGCTCTTGCTAATTTAATCACCCATTTCAATGGCACCTCTGTGTTAGTTGTGATGAACTTGCCCCAAGTCATGAGAAAAATGAGGCTGACCTTGCCATGCTGTTTGCTCTGATCTTGTGTAAGTTTGAGGGAAAGCTCCTGTGCAGAATGGGAGCCATCTGGTTTTACGTTACCTACGTGGCCATCAAGACAGACTTGTGTGTTAAAGGTATGGAAGGAAAGGACCAAGGGTAGTTACACCATTTATTTTCTTTCTACTACAAGCCTGGAGTGAAGCTGTACCCCCAGAGGTAGACTAGAATGTGATAATAAATAAGAAGATGTGTACAACACTTTGTTTTGTTTTTCGAGACAGGGTTTCTCTGTGTAGTCCTGGCTGTCCTGGAACTCACTCTGTAGACCAGGCTGGCCTCGAACTCAGAAATCCGTCAGTCTCTGCCTCCCAAGTGCTGGGATTAAAGGCATGTGCCACCACCGCCTGGCTTGTACAACACTTTTTGAAGTAAGAAATGCCACCTAGACATAGGACTCTAAGAGGGACCAGCTTAGTAACTGGTTCTTTCTAAGACTCAGAGGGATTCACAGAATTGAGATACTGCAGTTTATTCCTATCCCTTATGTGTAGGATCTTAGCAGCCCCTTCAATCCTCACAGCAGTATGACTGACTAAACTGCTTGGGTCCGGCTATGGGCTTTCTTCGGGGGGGTTGAGGGGTAGCATTTTAGCTAGTGGTCCCTGGCCACCAGGAGTACTCTGGCTGATAGTTGAGATTTTCAAGCAAGACAGGATCAAAGTAGGGAGGCAGAGCTTGGTGTCTTATCCTGCAACTGCCCTATAGAGAGAAAGAAATCAGATGTTTAGGGAATTAAGGTAAGGGATGCTCTGGGCCCTTGGACCGCGTCTCTTCCTAAGTGTAAAATATTATTTTTCCCCATTCATCTGAGTGTGAGTATGAGGCTAACTCTGCTTGATTCGTAGCCATTCCCTGACTCTTCTTAAACCCTCTTCTTGATGTGACCTCTCTTGGGAGACTGTGTGTGGGAGAGATGTAGCATGCCAGCAGGTGGAACAAGGACAGAAAACACAGTGCCACTGCTTGTTGCTGGGTGGACCTAGGCTGCATCAAGGGCTGTTGAGGATTTGCAGCAGGAAGTTGGAGAGAGTATGGAGTCCCTTTTTTAGGGTTCTACAGCCTTAATGGGGTCCTTTTCTTTCCTCTATCCATCCCCAAACCATTTCTAAATCCAGCTGGTGAAGGGTTTAGTCAAATGATTTGGTGAAATCACAGTTAAAGGCAGAGATCTGTCCCTTTCCCTAACTCCCTCAGGCGAGATCCTAAGCTATTTTAGTGACTTTCTTTCTTAGGACTTCTATAAATAACTTAGCCTCCCCCCTCCCCCAAGAATAAGGATTTCAACAAAGGCTAGTAACATCCTGGCAAAGAGGATGAAACCAGACTTACTGGTTTTAAAATAGGGTTTGAATTGCATGGTCCTGGCACATTTGCTGGGATCTCTTGTACCATGTCTTTTATTTGGTCGTTAGCTTTCCCTCAGTAGTTTAGCCCACTTGCAGAGTGCACTCTGGTCCATGTTCCAGGGGCAAAGGCAAACTCCACTCTGTGGTCTGTGGAGTGGTCCACGTGAGGTGGCTCAAATGCCGGGTTTATGGGCTCAGTGAACACTTTCTTCTGCTGAAGGGTTTCATTTAGTGTGCTTCACTAGTCTACTGTGTTTTCCTGTCCGTTCTGAGGGGAACCAGGTTTTATTTGTTGCTGTTTGTTTTGTTTTTCTTAAGCACTAATTGCTAAAAGAGCTTTTATTGAATTAAATCTTCAACTGCTTCTCTGGATTTATGGGGAAATTTAATGTGATCCTTAGAGCCTCAGATCGTGAAAGGTCCCAGCTCTTCCTTTGAGCCAAGTGCCCCGTGACTCACTCTTCAGGCTGCAGGTGCTCACAGGCTCAGCCTGACTCACACTGCAGTGCTCTGTGCAGAGCTGAGCTAACTGATGTTTAGACTTCGTCACTTGCAGTGACTGAGTTTTGATCTGAGGAGTATAGGCCAAGGTCTGTGCAGACTGGAAGTTTTGTGTGTATTCAGAAGAAACAATAGGAGGCACAATACAGTGTTGCAGGAACTAGCTGTCTAAGAGGCAGGTGCAGAGTGGAACCTGTGCTTTCAGGAATGAGATCCACTGGGCATGCTCTGGACAGTCATTCTACAGAAGCCATTGATTGACTGATGCATCTCTTACCTTGAAGCCTGGCATGTTGATACAGAGAGATGAAGACTCACTCCATCTGGAGTCAGCAACTTGAAACAGGCAAAAGCAAAATGGGCAACTACCACGTCTGCTTTATTTCTAAAAGAGGCCCTGCCTGTTGGAGGGAAGAGAAGGGAATGTCTTGAACATGTGGAATCACACAGCCTTGGATGCTTTTCCCTTGGCTCATCCCTATAGAGATGTTTGCCTCCCTTTAGGTATCCTTCACTGTAGCTTCCTCTAGGATGGGGCTTTTGGGTTTGTAGAGCAGAACCTCCTACTTGATAGTTCCTGGTTTTCAGGTTTAAACTGACACCTTGTCTTTTGTCTTTTGCAGGTTGGGTGGTCCAGACCCTTTGGATTATGTTAGCATGTACAGAAATATGGGGAGTCCTTCTGCCAACATTCCTGAGCATTGGCACTACATCAGCTTTGGCCTGAGCGATCTCTATGGTGACAACAGAGTCCATGAGTGAGTGTCTGCCACCTGTCTGTCTTTCCTTAACCCTAAGCCTATTTCTGAGGTTCTATTGGATATGTGTGAGAATGATGGTTCTGTGGGAGTGACACTTTCCAGTGTCACCTCTGTGGTTCCACCTTCTGCCTGTGTTGGCTAGCCTGGATCTCGCTCTGTAGGCCAAGCTGGTGTTGAATTTGTGGTGGAGGGGCAGCTTGTGGAATTGCTTAAGCTGGTCTTGAACTCTCCATCCTCTCACCTTAGCCTCCCGAGTGACGGGTTCCAGATGTGTGCCGCCAACCTTGTATTCATCTGTGCTTGGGTTGTCCACTTCACGTGTGTAGCCCAATCTGCTGTTCGCTGTCCTGTGTCTCTTACCCCTCTCAGGGTTAGAGAGATGGCTTAGCCGTGGCTCAAGTGGTTAAGGGCATTGGCTGCTCTTCCAGAGGACCCAAGTTCAATTCCCAGCACCCACAGGGCAGCTCACAACTGTCTTTTAACTCTAGTTCCAGCAGATCCACAGTCCTCTTCTGGCCTCTGTAGGCAGTAGACACATAAGCAATAGGCACACAGACATACATGTAGCCAAGACCCCCCATACACTTAAAATAATAGAAAGTTAAAATTTTTTCTTACTGCCTAATTTCTCTTTATAATCAACTAATATATGTTTTAATTCCAAAACACATTTTGATACCAAGTGAAATATAATTAACTTACTATTTAATCCTCCAAAATTACAATTAGAATAATTATAAAAGCTAACAATTTTAAATCACTGATTATGCACCTGGTACTCTTGTAGCCATTTATACATATGTGTCACTAATGAATTTAATTTTCAGCATAACTCTGTAAAACTACTAGGTGATAATATTTGCCTCGCTTAGTAATAAGAAAACATAAAGAGTCTCTATACCATAATTTCTTTTCTCAGCAGTGTGGGGGCCAACATTGATTGACTGGGTGATTGATTCAGAGCTAGGATTTAAATGTAGGCAGTCTGGCTCCCTAGGTCAGGATCAAACCCAGGTCCTCAGCATGGTAGGTATAGCATAGCAACATGGAAGATATGAAGAACTACAACAAACTGGGAAGAAAGTTAACATATTACCATCTCCAAAGTCAGGACAGAGTCATCTGTACAGAGTCAGGATAAGAGAGCCTTGCTACTTTTTTGTTTATGTGTTTTTGAGACAGGGTTTCTCTGTGTAGCCCTTAATGTTCTAGAACTCACTCTGTAGACCAGGCTGGCCTCGAGTTCACAGAGATCCATCTGGGATTAAAGGCCTGTGATACATCACCTGTTGGAGCCTTGCTACTATTTTGTTATGGTAATATTTTAAAATGACAGCACCTGATCTGTCTTGAGGTACGGCCCTACCATCTTCCCGACTAGGCAAGGCCTGAGGCCATGAGTGGCTGCGTGTTCTCACTGCTGCTTGGCTCAGGTAGGCCAGAAGCACTAGCCCTGCCACCCTCGAGACACCAGTGTGGGAGATGGCTCTGCCAATCTTCCATGCTGTCTCTACAATGCTTGGCTGAGCCCAGACCATCCCACCATCCACACGGTACCCTGTAGAAATGAGACTCTAATGTTTAAAGATTATCCAATAACTTTATATATTTAGAAATGCTCAAATAACAAGATGCCCACATAATTAGAAGTGTTAACCAATTAACTAACCTAGATATAAGTTGTTACCCAGGACTGCTCTCCATACATACGTGGCTTTCCATGGCTGCTACGTCTCTCCCAAGCTGCTCCTCTTCCTCTCCTCTTCCTCTCCTTACTCCTCCCACATTAGCTCCTCCCAACTTTCGGGGAAAATATCCCGTTATACTTTTTCAACTGGCCTAGGATAAGGACCACCACCCAGATAGAAGAAGGATAGTGTAAGAGGTCTCCCTTGTTACCCGGTTCTCTTGTTGTTGCTGCTGTTGTGTTGATGAGGAAACTGAGTTACTTAAGCCTCACATCTAGATTATAAAGGAACTGAAATTTGTGTTAGCTGGAGTCCAGAGTCTGGACTCTTAGATCACTGCACCATATCACACCAACTCTTTGCCCACAGGCCCAGGCCAGCTTTCTCTGTCTTTTGTTAGGTTCAGAGGCCAGGCCTCCTCTTCCCTAGCACATGGGAGGTAGTATCTATGTCTGCCTTCACAGCCTTCCAAATGGATCAGCAGAAACCTTGGAACAGACTTAGTCTTGCCTGAGTGGGGACCTGGCTGTACGGTATTTAGAGTGGAGCTAGATGATAAAAACAGAGGAAGAAGTAAAGAGTGTGCTGTGTGTTTTCTTTTGGGTTTTGGAGACAGGTTCTCACTCTGTGGCTAAGGTTGGCTTGGAACTCACTGCAGTCAAGGCTGACCTAGATCCCCTGGAGCTGGAGTTCTAGGTGGTTGTGAGCCACCAGATGTGGGTACTGGGCACCTACCTTGGTTTCTCTGGAAGTGCTCTAAACAACTCAGTGCCAGTGAAATGGTTTTGTAGGTAAAGGCACTTGCTCCAAGCCTGATAGTGACCTGAGTTTATTCCCTGGAACCCAGGGGGAAGGAGAGAACCAGCTCCACAGTTGCTATCTGATCTCCACATTCTTGAAATGGTACCATGTGCATATTCGTCCTCATTACACTCCTGTTTTAGTCAGGGTTACTATGTAATAAAACACCATGACCAAAAGCACTTAGGGAGGAAAGGGTTCACTTGGCTTACATATCCTGAATCCTAGTCTCTTTGAGGGAAGCCAAAACAAGAACTCAGCCAGGCAGGAACCTGGAGTCAGGAACTGATGCAGAGGCCGTGGAGGAGTGCTTACTCCTCATGACTTGTTCAGCCTGTTTTCTTATAGCACCTGGCTCCACCAGACCAAGGTAGTACCACCCACAAAATGCTAGGTCCTCCCAGGTTAATTAATAAATAAGGAAATGTCCAACATGTAGTGGTACACACCTTTATTTCCAGCACCCAGGAGGCCAGCCTGGTCTACATAATTAGTTCCAAGACAGCCAGAACTATGTAGAGAGACCCTTTCTCAAAAAAAAAAAAAAATTCTGTGTGTGTGTGTGTGTGTGCACATGTGGAGGCTAGAGGAGGCAGTTGGATCCCCTAGAGCTGGCATTACAGGCAGTTGTGAGCCATCTGATGTGGATGGTGGGAACTGAGCTGTGCTTTTCTCAGATAGCTGCAAGTACTCTTAAGCACTGAACCATCTCTCCAGGTCCCCTCCCCACCATAAGGAATTCTTGTTTCCTCTTAAGTAGACACTGAAGTTCAGCAATGTTTGCTATCCAGGTGGTAAGGTAAAAGCCAGTCTGGTGACCCTGAGTCTGTTCCTCTCCATGGTGTTGTGCTGTTTTTCTTTTTGTTCCTACTGTGTCTCCTCCTAACATCTTTCTCTCTTCCTCACAGCTTGTTGAGGATAGAGACAGGCATTTCCTCTTGCTCAGAGACAGGAGGATGGGGAGGAGCCCTGCTTGGTAATCCTAAGGTGATGTACAATTGCTTGTATGGCCATTTCACCCATGCTTTCTCCTTGCCTCACATTCATTAGAGGGAACAGGATGAGAACAATTGTTTGCACAAACTGCTGGCCATGAGGAGCTGAGTTTGGCTCCCCAGCATCCACAGAAAAAGCTGGGCATGGTGCTGCACACCTGTAATCATAGCACTGGGCAGGTGGAGACAAGAAGATGGAGCTCACGGGCTAGTTAGTCTCACTGAATGGTGAGCCAGGCCCAGTGGGAAGGCCTGTTTCAAAAAATAAGGTGCAGACCAATAAAAGGAGATGCCACATGTGCATACCTACATGACATATGCATATATGATACCACACATCTGCACAAATTAAAAACAAAAAGTTAAATTTGGGCATTATATATTTTTACTTATATATGCACACACACATGTATATTGATATTTAGATCCTGAGAATTGTACTCAGCCCCCTGCCCCACACTGGTACACACCCTACCACTGAGCTACACACTAAGAGTCTAAGAACATAAAAATTATGGCCTGTGATCTCATGGGGTTTTGACACATACGTAAGTTATGTAACGCTTACATCGCTTTGTTTCACATATTTATTCATCTTTTGTGGTCAAAACATCCCATGTGCTTCCTTTCAGCTTTCTGAGAAGTGCAGTGCACTCTTGTTATTTCTAGGCACCCACAGTACAGTTGCTCCCCGGTGTTTCTTGAACTGAATTTCCATTGATCAGCTTCTCCCCTCTCTTCTGCTGTCTCTATGGCCCCTGCTTAATCTACAGGTCTACACCCATATCTGTGAGTGTACCAAAAGGGCCACCATGTGGGTGCTGGGGATTGAACTCAGGACCTCTAAAAGAGCAGTCAGTGCTCTTAACCACTGAGCCATCTTTCCAGCTCCCTCATTTTTGCTCTTATCTGTTTTTATTTTATGTGTATAGCATTTTTCCAGCACGTATGTCTGTGCACCATTGATTTGTCTAGCCTGGAGGACAGAAGAGGGCAGGCATCAAATTTCCTGGAACCTTAGTTACAGATAGTTGTGAGCCACCATGTGAGTGCTGGGACTTGAACCTGTATCCTTTGGAAGAATAGCCATTGCTCCTAACTGACTGAGGCCTCTGTCTAGCCCTTGTCTTAATTTTTTGAAATAGTGTCTCATGTACTCCAGACTTACTTTGAATCGTCTTGTTGCTGAGGATGACCTTGGTTTTCAGACCCTCCTGCCTGCCCCACCCCACTGCTGGGGTTGCAGCTGTATGCTACCACAGCCAGGACTGTGTGGTGCTGGGGCTAGAGAACCCTGGCTCGTGCGTGCTAGGCAGACACTACCAAGTGAGCTGCACCCCTAGCCCAGAAGATTTTGAAGAGGCTGTTTCTGAAGTTGAAAGATGATATAGATTCTATCTTGGAGCAGCAACCGGGGTGAGCATGAGGATTTTCTAGAAAGGCTACCCACAAATGCCTTCAGCAGAAGAGACTGCCCTTTCCCAGTCCCCACACCTGGGAGCTGTCAGACATC